CCAATAAAAACTGGCCGCCACGAAATAGCCCAAAAGCGGTGCTTAAAAGTGGCGTTAAAACACCAAAAATCAATCAATCAAATCATATTCATGTGCAAACGAGATCACCTAAATTGATAAGTTAATAAATTAACTCTGAACTTTTCAATGTTAAAACATTATTAAAACCTAGTTTTAAACAAAATCCAACTATAATGTACTTCTGAAACTCAAGTTTTGGGAAGGTTTACATTTCATCCATATATTATACCAAGTATTACAAAATATTTTTTATAATAAATACCGTAACTGTTGGGGTTCGGACCCGAACAACATGTTTGAATTAAAACGTGATAATCATGTATTATGAATTTGCATTTAGACGGCAAATTATCTAAAAAATAAAGACTTTATAAATGTTTCAACAGACTGGGATAACTAACAATTTGCCTTTCATGTATTTTATCAAATTCCATCCTCATTTCTACAGCAAACGTAATATAGATAAAATAGAAAGGAAACAATAAAGCGCTTTCAGTTTTAACTATGATGACTAGAGAAGCTCATATAAAAAGTAAAATAACAAAAATACCGAACTCCAAGTAAAATAAAAATGGAAAGTCCCTTATCAAATGGCAAAACACAAAGCTCAAACTCATCAAACGAATGGAAAACAACTGTCATAATCCTGACTTGGTACAGGCATTTTCTTGTGTAGCAAATGGTGGATTAACCTGGTTTTATATCTAGCTAAAGCTCTTACTTGTATGACAGTCGCATATAATTCCATCATATTGACAACAATGTGTGAACAAAACAAACAGACATAATAATAAGACTTCTTTTGAAATTTGGTGGATAGTTGTTTCATGGGCAATTATACCACATCTTCTCATTTTTATGATAATAGGTAAAAATGTCAAAAATTGGGGTACAGCAGTCAACCTTGTGTTATAATCTTAATCACTATAAAAACAAACAACTATGTCAACAAAGAAAAACAAAATGCCATATAGACAAAGCACATAAGCAAATATGAAAGACAAGAATACAGAAAATGACCATAGCACAATAACACAATAGCGGGATGTATAAATACTGAGCCACGCCAAAAGGATATTACAAAAAATGGACTAAATAGTAAATGTTAATAATATACAAAGACGAATAAAAGTACACGATAACACGTAATCAATATGATAAACAATTTCAGTACTTAGAATCTACACTTCAAGACCATCATGTATTATTTGTGAAGTTGATACGGAATATTTATCAACAAGGTCTTGATATCTTCCGATGCACTTTTTTTAGAAAAAAGACGAGACATTCTTTGGCATAACCCTTGTTCATCAACTTTCTCCTCAGACAGTGGTGGCGTTTTATGAAGTCTGAGTAGCAGCTGCACGCTCTTGAATACCGAATGCGTTGGGAAATGTATATCCAATATGCAGGTGAAGTTTATATATTACTGCTAATTAAGGTGGGGGAAATTGATAATTTCAAAATTAAAATCGTCCCGTTTGTCATAGATTCTGGTACTGGAATGACCGCTTATGTCAAATTTGAGGTATAAGTCTAAAACTGAGGCGGAGGAAGCCGTGTCTGTTGTTTCTTCATTTCTAGTCCTATTATTGGAACCCAATCAGAAAAGTTTGAATTGTTAATGGAAAGAACATCATCAATATATCTGAATGTAAAATTAGATGATCTGACTTCTTTGATCTTCTTGTTTTTGACAAGTGTTTGAAGGAACTCCGACTCATATGAAAATAAGAAGAGGTCGGCAAGGAGAGGCGCACAGTTCGTTCCCATAGGTTATTATTAAAATCGAAAATGCATACACTGAAAGTTAAACATCGTCTCAGAAGAATTAAGTACATAAAATTATTTAGGTATGGCTTGAATTCATTCGTATTAACTGGTGTTTAAGGGGGTACAGAAGGGAGTTAACTCTTAAAAAAACAGTTGAACGTTTTAATCACATACTCTTAGTACAGAGAAATCAAGCTTCTCAATGATCAATTGGTGATTTCCAAACTGCTATATATCCAGTAAAATTATTCCTGTAAATTGTGTGGTTCAATTTCCTTGAATTTTTTATATTTTTGTCAATAGGTCAAAGTAAATATTTTGTCAACATTTTATGAAAATTAAGCGAGTCAAATCTATTTTACTCAAAGTGTTGGGGACCCCTTAATTATGGAACAAGTTACCAAACCATTTAAGAACAGACGTCTTTCAAACAATTTAAAAGTTTGATAAATTCTTGAGATGGTGACTCGTGCTACTGCAATCCTTGTTGTAATGCTTAATCTATTTCATACTAGAATGTCACTTCTTTCACCTTTTGGGCATATACAAATTTAAGCTGCATGTAAAATTTTTATAGTGCTTCTAAGTAATACTACTGATTATGCTAATGTATGCTATCTTTTTGATTACTATAGTTTTAAATAATATACATAACTCTAAAGTTAATTTGTGTATGTTAAAAGGTATAGACTATATAAAAAAACTAAGCTTATTGTCCTGTATTGTCCCGGTTGGTACAGCGGTAATTTTAAAGCAACTGGTCCAGACGAAATTCCGGCATTTAAACTAAGATCAGCACCCAAGCAACTAGCATCAATTTTTCTCTGATATACCAGCACTGCCTCGACACAGGAGAAGTCCCCCCACCTCCAGACTAATGAGATGCCTTACCAATCTTCTAAAAAAAGGTGAGACATATAGCTGCATATTACAGACTAGTATCGTTTATATCTATGTCTTGCAAAATACTGGAGCATATCAGATTCATATTATATACATAGCAGTATAATGAAACACTTCGATACCAACAACCATACAAACTGAAACACAGCATGGCACCAGATATAAGCGATCATGAGAATCTCGGCTTATAACAACAGCCCAGGAAATAGTAAGACGACTTATTTTTTAAAGTATCACAAGTTGATATATCATCTTACTTGACTTAACTAAGGCTTTCGACAAAGGTCCCACATGCCAGATTATACTGCACAAGCTATCATACTATGGAGTGAGCCACAATACTGTAAGATTGATAAAATCATTCTTGGTCGACAGAAATCAGAATTTAGTATTAAAAGGATCAAAATCAACACCAGCTCATGTCTTGTCAGGCATACCACAGGGATCGGTGTAAGGCCACCTTTTGTTCCTACCCAACATAAATGATATGTCAGAGACTACCAAAAGCTCAGAGACATGGCCATTTGCGGACGATACCATCCTGCTTCGTGCCATTAATGAAGCATTATACAGCCATTTACTATAGGAAACTCTTAATGCGCTTGACGAATGGGAAGGCAGATAACAAATGAATTTCAACCCAAGTAAATGAACAATAATAAGGGTAGCACCTAGGAAAACCAAGTCAATTATACCTACCAACTACCAGCTTCATTATCACGTACAGGAAATAGTTGATACCTGCATGGGAGTCATAATAACCAGCAACCTTTCCTGGGAAAAACATAATTGACAACATAGCTGCCAAAGGAAACAGATCAATTAGTTTTATAAGAAGAAATCTAAAAGACTGTACCAACCAAAACCGTTAAAGAGAAAAGCTACACAACAATAGCCAGACCTACAATTGAAAATGCAGCCACTGTATGCATATCCAACTATCGCGGTCATCACGTTACTTTTACGATTAACTTGTTTATCAGTAATGGTCGATCGTTTTATCAATCAAGATAAACGGGACACGTAGATTAAACGATCATATTTTTTTTATAATATATTGTGTACATAGGCACTTGTCAGAAAAAAATTACCTACATACCATAATAATATATAAAGGTATACAGGTATTTTTTTTTAGACAAGTGCTTGTGATTGTATATTACCCCGCCATATCCCACGTTGTATAGATCTTTCTTATTTGCAATTAGATATGTTCAAAATTTCAGTTCAGAAACATGATTATTTGCTTCAAGCCAAATTAAAATCAAGGTCCTCAAAATTTGCAAAGAAGAGCAGAACGCTTTGTATCCAATAACTCTATGGACAGAACTATGACAAGCCGTTTTTATATTCATTCCATTTCGATATATCTTATTAAGTTACTAAGATATCTTCTAAAGTATATATGATTACTTCTATTCTTTATGAGATATCTTATTTAATTGGAAGTTAATGAGATATTTTATGTACTTTTTTTAGAAAGTTTAGAGTCATTTATAAAATATCTTTTGAACTAAATTAGATATCTTGTTCAGCTAATAAAATATCTTATCTTTTTAAGATATCTTTTAAGTAAATACTTTATGAGATATCTTTTATAGTTTGTAAGATATCGTTTAAAGTATAAATGATATATTATTTACTTTATTAGATATCTTATTTACCTTATTTAGATATCTTATTAACTTCATAAGATATCTTATAAGCTATACAAGATATCTTATTATTGCTTTATCAGCTATCTTATATAATTGATTTATTGTTTATTAGATATCTAATAAACCTAATAAGATATTTCATATATTAAATGAAATATCTTATAAATTAAATAAGATATCTCTTTTTGAGTTATAAGATCTCATATTTTTTTATAAGATATCTTAAAAAATATTAAAAAAATATATGAGATAACTTGATAAACGGGGGCGGCTGCTGCAGTTTGCTACAATATCGTACATTTAGTGATTAGGATACAATTATGAGACACTAAGCTTGACAATACACGGTAGTGAAAAAACAAAGCTGAGTTTACAGAAAAATAAAATAAATAATTTCCTCAGTTAAATGACCAAAATATCCTCTCTTTTAAAATAAACAAGATAACTTGTCAAGTTAAGTTATACCGGACTGTTTATGACTTACGAGTATTTTTACTCATAAGATTTTTTGTGAAAAGAGCGTTGGTTGAATTAAGACATGATCGCATGCTACAAGGGTTGTCCTCTTACCAGGGAGGGATATCTGCAAGAATTGAGTGGAAAAGAGAACGCTATTTCTAAGTTTCCATCCCCTTACCCCTTCATTCCCAATAGTATTGCGGGAAATTCAATATTTAAACCAACACAACACAGAACAGGATAGAGTTGAACAGATCAATATTAAGGAAAGAATTTATCAGATTATTGATTCGATTGTTAGCCAGGCATGTCAGGGAAGCAGACATTCCAGCTTAGAATCGAGGATTTTATTGGATAAGTGTGCGTGGTATTGCCTGTTGGGTTTCAAAATTCTTGTCTGGTATTTTAAAACAGTTCAATTCTAGCTAGTGACTATTAAAAAAGAGAGTCTCAGTTTCTTCCAATTTATAAAGGTACGGTTGTGATCACCTTTAAAATTTATTTGTACAGAGTGGGGCGCCCGTATTTGTCCCATATATGATATAGTGATTGTTGATATGAAGGTTGATATCACACCATTTGTAGACAGACCTGTACACTTGGTGTGGATATGAAGGTTGATATCACACCATTTATAGACGGGTACACTTGGTGTGGATATGAAGGTTGATATCACACTATTTGTAGACAGGTACACTTGTTGTAGATATGAAGGTTGATATCACACCATTTGTAGACAGGTACACTTGGTGTGGATATGAAGGTTGATATCACACCATTTGTAGACAGGTACACCTGGGGTGGATATGAAGGTTGATATCACACCATTTGTAGACAGGTACACCTGGAGTGGATATAAATAGAGAATATCATATGGCTTTTTCAATATCACATCTGTATCAACCCGAGACACCAATATAATCCCAAGAGCTCTGCTTGAGGGATTATACTGGTTGAGGGTTGATATGGTGTGTGATATTGAAAAAGCCATATCATATACACTTTATTATATACATTTATCATATATTTATTACAAAATACAGCAATTTTGTATATCTAATAAAGGTTCTTTTTCCCAGTCTGTATCACCTACCCTGTATGGCATACCTCATATCCCATAGCTTAACCCGTATTGCATACCCCCGTATCGCATAGCTAAACTCGTATTGCATACCAGGCATGACGCCTTTAGCGGGTTATTTTCGCAGGGTGTTTATTTTCGCTTATTTTGGCGGATAAACGAAAATCGCGAAAATAAATTCCGCGAAAATTTATGCATACGTTGGGTAGTTTCGAAGTTAACATGGTTAAACGATTTTCCGAAGTTAACATGGCTAAATGATTTTGTAAATAATCTATTTTTTCATGTCGGCAGGTCAATAAAGGTATGTTAGTTTTAACAAGATAAATGCCAAAGGGCAATGTACATAAATGTATTTTATAAAATGACTGTCAGGTGTGTATACCTTATTGATAAGTGTCAATTAGAATAAGAGTGCAAGGTACTCTTATCAGGTAATTACTCTTATTAATTAGTGTGAAGCCATATAAGAGTTGTAAACATTCATGATAATTTTGTAACCTAATTAGTACATCAAAGGTCCGGTTAATTTCTTAAATAATCATTCGTAAAATTTACAAGACGTTTGAATACTTGTAACAAATATCTAAGTGAGCTGTATTCTAATGATTAACTGTATCAGAATCTAATCAATAAATAAGAGGTCATTCCGGTATAAAAAATCAATTAACCATAACAAGAGACACTTGTTTGTAAAGTTTTACAGCTTTTTAACTGCAACAATTTCAGTATCCACCAAAATATTTAATTTGGATTTAAGAATCCATCAAAATAAAAACCGCCAAAATTTTTATTATACTTTGTTGCCCCTAAATCGTGAATTTTTACACCCGCGAAAATAACCCCCTATTCGGTATATCGAATGACGTCAAAGTTTGACATATGATGTCCAGTTGCTGTATTTCCTGGCATGATATGAAATGTAACCTCATTTAGTTAAAATTTCTGAAAAATACTTGCAAGAGAAAATGGGTCATTTACTGAAAAAATTTTAGTTTTTGAAGTATTCACATATTTGGTATAGCAAAATTGCAACCCTTTCAAATATGTGGAGTTCATATTTATATGGAGATCCCTCTGTTTGTCTGATAATAACCTTTGAATAATATCCACATTTAGGTATACAAATAAGCTCAGATTGTAGTATAATGGTTAAAAATAACAACAAATATTGGGAAGGTTTGTAGTATTCTACAGGAGGGAACAGCCGGCTGACAGTATCGTTAGTGAATGCATTTAAAAACATGGTCTTAAAATATATTATTTGCCAGTTTCATAGCTCTATATTGAGCATGTAGTGAGGTTATAGGGGACATTACGATGTGGATGTCTCGTGCAGTATGAACGATCCCTAATTTTGTTATGACTATCATGAAAAGGGATATTAAGCAAATAAGGAAGTCTATAAAAAAAAAAAGTCAGCTGAAAAAATACAGTAAAATCATAATTTTCTTGTCTTGTTTATATATTTTCGGACGATTTAAAAAAAAGATATCACATGAATCTAATTTTATTAAAATATGTGATAAACAGAATAATACATGGCAAAATCTGTATCGCATGCTGTATCACCACTCGACCAATATCAGCCCTCGGGGCTGATATTGGTTCCTCCTGGTGATACAGCATGCAATACGGATTTTGCCATGTATTATTCTATATATAACTCACGTAGATGTTTTTTTATGTGACATGACGTCATACAAGTAAGGTTTGAAATGACGTCATACAGATTATAGGTTTGACATGACGTCATACAGATAAGGGGTTTGATAAAGCCTTTGCAACAGTGAGTGCAATCGATGACGTGACGTCATACAGATTAAAGGTGTGATAAAGCCTTTGCAACCCTGCTGATATCGATATCATCACGGGTGGCTGATACAGCACGCTTGCCAATGATTGTACTACACATACAATTTATCTGAATTTACTACTAAGTATATAATAAAGATTGATATCGCACCATTTGTAGACAGATACACTTTGGGTGGATATGAAAATTGATATCACACCACTTTCTGTCACAAGAATAGGGAAAATATTGATTGGTCAGTGGCGTAGCACCAGTGTAGCATTGTAAGCATGTGATTACAGATAATCATTCAGCTTCTAGGGGCTGAGCTTCACCAGACCCCCTTCTTACAATTTATTTTCCAGAGGCTATGCAACATGGTAAATTGTTTTGATTGGAACAACAACTCTCAAAGAAACATACAAAAAAGTATCATAATTATTTTTTAAACTCCCTGTTCTGAATTCCTTTGTAAGTAAGACCGGTTTTGCTTTATTACATTGATGTTGGTGTTCAATACATGCTACAGTGTTCTCCATTTTTCACTAAGGTAAGGTGGGTGTTTTAAAAAAATCACTTGCAACCGGTTGTTTTTTTGTTTTTGTTTTAACATTTCCAACCGGGTTTTATTTTACTGTTTTTGGGGACACAAAAAGAAGGATGAGTATTGTATTCACATTTAATAAAATTGAACCGTTCTTCTGCTGTCACTGCTAGCCTTTCATTTGACAAATTAGTTTTTTGCATCTCGGATAGCAGATATGGCTTTTGCAGGACTCCCTTCTCCTGCAAATGCATTGCTTATCGATCCAAGTTTCTGTCCTGTTCCTCGCTTTAGTGTTGTATTTTTGGCACACAGAACAGAAATATCCTCCTGTGCCGATTAGCCATTTAAAGTCCTATTCATATTTATCAGCTTGGGAACGACCCCTCAAATGAGGGGTAACCTCTCAATGTAATGACTATCCCTTTTATGAGGGGTACATTTCACGAGATACAAATGAGCACATATTTATTTTATTTACAGAAACTTTTACCAAAGAACTATACATCTATTTTGTATTATATGGTCAAAACATGTCCAAGAATTTTGTAATATTCCTGGACTTCTATCTTCTTTATCAGTAAAAATGGGTCTCACTAATTAGCGACAAGAAGCGTCAACAAGCGACAAGAAGCGACAACAAGAATTATTTTAGCGACAAGAAGACTATTTAGCGACAAGAAAACATTTTTTTTTTATTAGATATAAAGAAATTTGTATTTAATGTTTTTTTTTTAAATATACGAGCAGATATGTCTAATTAAAATGTTTTATTATATAGATAGACGAAGAAATGAAACATTTGTGAGGAAGAAAGAGATTGTGAAGTTTATATTAGTATATTGGTAGATGAAGAAATTAAACATTTGTGAAGAAGAAAGAGATTGAGCTTCTTTTTTTTATTTTTAAATATGAAGAATATGTATAAGATAAATGTATGTATCTGTTTTCATCAAAGTCAAAGTATGAATAAACGAATGGAGATATATATGGAGCGGGCATAATGGAATATAATATTTTGATTCATTTGCTGAATACTATGCTCTAAGTGTACTCTTGTTATGTCAATTCGATGCTTTATTTGTAGAACTCTCAGCCACGCTTTGCCATCTTTATTATTTAAGCGTGTTTACAGACCCCACGACGAGGACGTGGTTCTACCTTGGGATCCATATAATTAATTTTTTTTTCGGGCCAGAATATACAATCATTGTAAATAGTGAACACCTGTTGAAAACTCAAGATTGTCATTAATTTCCTTTTATCTTCTATCAATATGCATAAACATGATAAATATCGTTTAATGAGGCAATAAACAAATAAAAAGATGAAAACATTCACATTTCAATTTTCTTTTCCTCTTGTTTGATTTCAGTTCTTTGTATTTCACAATTTGTGTCAATATTTTCAGGACAATGATGCACAAATAATTCATTTTGCGAGCTTAATATATATTGCACGAAAAGAGTTTTAAAAAACAAATTATAAGATAAATAATATGTTCTAAAACACAAGGAAAAGTAATCTCATAATACAATAATTAAACGTAATACTGGCTGTTATACATAATAGATGATAAAATATTATGTAAATAATGTTTCATTTTTTTCTATCAATTTTAACTTTCTTGTCGCTAAAATTATTTTCTTTTGCATATTCTTTTAATATTTATTGCAATAATTAATTTTAATTAAAAAAAATATGTTTTCTTGTCGCTAAATAGTTTCTTGTCGCTAAAATAATTCTTGTTGTCGCTTCTTGTCGCTTGTTGACGCTAAAATTCTTGTTGTCGCTAATTAGTGAAACCGGTAAAAATAATGGGACCCTCTTTTAAAAAAGTTGTTCCAAACATAACAATTTTTTCCCCTTTTAAGTTAAAAAATCTTAGTTTTTCTCTTTTCTTTTCTTCAACAGTATTAACATGACCTCTTGCCAGAGAGACAGTCCCTCATTTAAGGGATATCCCTCATTTGGAGGATTGTTCCCAACCTGTTCATCTTCGCGATCGCTTGCGTGCCTTTTCCGTTGTTTTGATACTTTTTTTTCAATTTCAACAATTTCAATACGACTATCCGTTTAAGTTGACTTATTTGGCCTAGAATTTTCCTTATCACCATCGTCATCTGCCTTTCTCTTCCCCCGATTAATAAAAGAAAGCGAGGCGCGATTAGTATTTAAATTTGTACGGTGCGGAACCGAAAAAAAACCGGAATTTGAAAAAAAGCCGACCACCTCCTAAAATGGAAAGGTGGTCGGCTTTCAAAAGAAGGTGGTCGGCAAACCCGGCTTAAATGCCGAATGGAAAACACTGATGCTAAGTGAATATATAAATAGTTCCTATGAATGCCGGTTAAAATGATTAACCAAAAAAATTAAATTCTTTAACATGGTTAATGTAGACTTAAACTCACACTATCAATAGCTCACTTTTTAAAAATTTTTAATTGGTTGTTTTTTTTTAAGTAGCTTATTACTTAATCATAAAATTAATAATTACCTTGCAGATGTTCTTTGAGCACAATTTTTTGTAAGGATCTATAGAATTCTGTTTAGGCTGATTATAAGTAAGGGTTCAGTTAAGTCCAATATTTGGTAGATGTAAACCTTAATAAACCTTTTATTGGTAAGGATCTAAGTTGTTCTATATAGTCTCATATTATGTTGCAGTGTTCATGGTGTATGGGATGTTCTAAATAAGATCGTAATTGGTATGGATCTGAAATGTTCTATATAGTTCCATATTTCGTAGGTGTATATGGAATAGCTTATGTTGTCTACAGTTAACTTGTTAATTTACTCAAAGTGATTTAGAATGTGCCTTAAATTGAATCATGAAATATATCTATTTTAGATGAATCGTTGATGTCAACATCAATGTTGTTGTTTTTACATGTGCCCACATCTATGCTGATGTAGCTTCAACATTTACATGTGCCCACATCTATAGTGTTGTAGCTTTGACATTTACATGTGCCCACATCTATTTTGTTGTAGCTTTGACATTAACATGTGCCCACATCTATGGTGTTGTTGCTTTGACATTTACATGTGCCCACATCTATAGTTTTGATGCTTTGACATATACCTGTGCCCACATCTTTGTTATAGCTTTGACATTTACATGTGCCCACATCTTTCTTGCAGCTTTGACATTAACATGTGCCCACATCTATTTTGTTGTAGCTTTAATATTTACATGTGACCACATCTTTTTTGTTGTATTTAACATTTACAATTGTGCCTACATCAATGTTGTTGCTTTTACATGTGCCCACATCTAATTTGTTGTTTTTACATGTGCCCACATCTTTGTGGTTTTTCCTTTGGCATTTTCATATTCCATCTCCTATGTTGTTGCTTTGACATTTACATGTTCTCACGTCTTTAGTGTTGTTGCTTTGGCATTTACATGTGCCCACATCTATAGTGTTGTTGCTTTGATATTTTCATGTGCCCACATCTTTGTTATAGCTTTGACATTTACATGTGCCCACATCTTTCTTGTAGCTTTGACATTAACATGTGCCCACATCTATTTTGTTGTAGCTTTAATATTTACATGTGCCCACATCTAATTTGTTGTTTTTACATGTGCCTACATCTTTGTGGTTTTTCCTTTGACATTTACATGTTTCAACTTCTATGTTGTTGCTTTGACATTTACATGTGCCCACTTCTATATTGTTGTTTTGACATTTACATGTGCCCAAATCAATGTTGTTGCTTTGTCATTTACATAAGTCCACATCTATGTTGTTGCTGTGCTATGACATTTACATATGTCCACATCTATGTTGTTGTTGCTATGACATTTACATGTGCCCACATCTATTTTTTTTCATATTTCTGTTGACCTTTTCAGGTACCAAATTCTGATTGAATATATCTCTATGTGACACAAGATGGCAGCTAGAAGAAAGGAATCTACAAGTGATGTGAAACAACGTCAACCATTAGGCACACCAACTGTCATGTCTACACCCTCTCGTAGTGGTCTGTATCACCTTAGAGAAAGGTTGGAGCGACAGATAGAAAACAACCAAGGAAAACTTGAAAAACAGACCAGTCCAACACTAGAAAAACTTAAAATGACCCCAGGTAAGAGATTTAGCCATTACATACTGGAAAAGAAGACGCATGTAAAACATAAAAAACAAACCAGTCCAAAACTTGTTTCCTAAAATGATCCCAGGTATGAGATGTGCAGGCTTACAGGAGAAAAAATTTAAATGACCTGAGGCTAGGGACTTAATCTTTTAGGTTTCTAATACCGTAGTACGATACAACTAGAAGCATTCATTTAATCAACAATTCTCTCTATTTATACTGCAGAAATTTTACCAAGGGAACTGACTTTAAATTTATCTTATATAAACAGCAAGAATTGTCCTTTTTTAGATTTGATATTTCAGTTTACAGGGGAAACTCTACACAAAAAATCAGGACACAAGAGGAGACTTTTTGTTTTTTTATTGTTAAATTTCCTTTTTAGGACTTGGTTTTCATTTTGGTCCCTTCTTACGATGTGTATACTCACAACTGATTGGCTTTGCCGTGGCAGTACTGACATTTTAGATTTCAATTGACATAATCTATGTATAACTGGTAAAAGAGAGGCGAAAGATACCAAAGGGACATTCAAACTCGTAAGTCGAAAATAAACTGACAACCCCATGGCTAAAAAAGAAAAAGACGAACAGACAAACAACAGTACACAAAACACAACATAGAAAACTAAAGACTGAGCAACACGAACCCAACAAATAACTGGGGGTTCTCAGGTGCTTCGGAAGGGTAATTATTACGTCAGGGATTTCATTACCACAATTTATTTAACACCTTTACTAAATTATTTCATTGATACAAAGATTTAGTTTGGCAGTTTGGCTGTTCCTGTAATAATCTTATCAGGGCCCCCATGACTAGTCAGAAATGTCCTGTAGTGATGACTTCCTTTTGCATCCTTTTGGTGTGAATGAAGTGTGTTTTTTTTAATCATGATAAAAGAATACTGTAAATTTCAGAAGTCATTGTGAAAAAAATGTGAACTTGGAAGCTTTTTGACTATGAAAAGAACTTTGATTGTATAAAAACTTCATGAAATGTTGTTCTCTATTTAAGGTCGAGTGTTAAAAGACAGGGAATTGTTGGCTAGCAAACATGGCAGTGTACGACAGAAAGCAGACAAGTTAAACGTTGGGGGAGGAGTGTGTTTGTGGCCTGGGATGGATGACATGAGATTATCACAGCGAGAGATCATAGAAATTTTCTTTGTATCTTTTTTCTTATTAGTAGCTGTCCTTATAGCGTTTAATAAACTTCATGGTATGAGTTCATTTAGATTTGAATATAGGACATGTGGGGTATATAAACATCAATGAGACAGCAACCCAACAGCAAGATATCCTAATGAAATCTAGAGGGCATCATGCTGTCTTCAGCAAAAGACATGTGTCTAAACATAAGTCAAGCTCGAAATCGTTTCTATTCTATTTAAGTTGTGAATAAATTAAACAAAAACAATCAATAATCTAAGATACAAAGATATGACATTAGGCAAGCACTGACAGGTTCTTGGACAGGCTAATATATGGTGGGGGTTTATAAGGATTTGGAATTGTATGACAGAGATGCATACATAGAAGAAGATTCTTTGTTACCTGTCAATGGATTTTACAATACTTTTCATATATATTGTATATTAAAAAAATATTTAAAAAATACATATCCTATCATATTTTGACAAAAAAAGACCTACACATGAATAGCTTTATAACACTATTTCCTGGAGTTATAATAGATTTGACAAATATCTGATGTATTAATCACTGTGGTTTTATGCGCATCATTAAAAAAACCTTACTTCTAATTCAGTAGTTTAAGAAACTTTTGATATAATAATATTGTTTATCAGAAATTTTCACCCTTATCTTATATTATGAAGCCTTGAATTAGCAACTCATCCCTTCCACTCAGTAGATAGTAAATCCCCCAGCAATTGCAAATAGATCTACATTGCCTATTTATACATGTAGGACTACTTTAACTAATCATTTTCTAAACATTAATGTCTACGTTTGTATCCACAGGATCAACAATTGAAGAATTATATAAATATCACAATGTACTAAAAGATTTCCATGGCAGCCATTACATATCAGTGAGTCAGTCCTCTTTAGATAGTGGTTTACAAAGATGGCACAAAGAATATAGAAAACTTATTGTAAGTAATTACAGTGAGTCAGTCCTCTTTAGATAGTGGTTTACAAAGATGGCACAAAGAATATAGAAAACTTATTGTAAGTAATTACAGTGCGTCAATCCTCTTTAGATAGTGGTTTACAAAGATGGCACAAAGAATATAAAAAACTTATTGTAAGAAATTAAATGAATAGCTACTTTCTCAATCTTCCAATAAAAATATTGAAACGATTTACTCAAATAACATTTATTAATCTAAAGAAATCTTTTGAATTTCTGCATATACATTTTTTGTGTTCATGTGAAGCTGACTTAATATTATACCTTTACTGAAGATGACATCAAGAAATTAAATATCCAAAATGCAGGTGCCAAGAAAATGTGACCTCAATTTCATGGTTCAGTTTTCAGTTTCTTTTTCAAATGGAAGGTATTTTGTTTTTTTTATGTGAATCTTATAAAATATCCCTATTTAACTTAACCACAACCATGCATCAAGATATGACCTATCCCATACATACCTCCAGTGGATGATATGACCTTGATTTCATGGGTCAGTGGTCACGGATAAGAATTTCAGGTGAAAGGTCATTTAAGTTCAAACAGATGTAATGTTAGAAGTTAACCACAGTATGACAGGATACACTATCAAATTAAAATTTAATATTTAAATTTCAAGGCATTGGTGGCCCAGCAGTCTAAGTAGTTCATATTCATCTTCAGTGATCACAAGCCAGCTGTCAACTCTGAGGTTGTGAGATCAAATCCTGCCCAGTTTTTTTTTAGTTTGTGCTTGTAAAGAGTTATTGTTCATGGAGCATATGTTGCCAACTCTCTACTTGTTTTATGTATACTGAGTAAAAAAAGTTCAGCAGCATAGATTTTGAATCAAAAAAACTTAATAGGTTGAAAATTTCCAAATTTGTGGAAATAAATTTTATAATTGAGTTTGTATGAGCACAAACTGCACCTTATGGTTTAATTTCTTTATTATACCCTACGCAATGAGTTGCAGAGGGTATAATGTTTTTGACCCGTCAGTCCGTCCGTCCGTCAGTCCTGTTTCTTGTCATCGCAACTCCTCTCAAACCACCCAACAGAATTTCACGAAACCTTTTCAGATAATAAGGACATACTACGTAGATGTGCATATTGACAGGAAATTTTGATTCAATTTTTTTTCCAGGAGTTACGCCCCTTTGAACTTATTTGCCCAATATACTACTGCAACCTTTTGTCATCGCAACTCCTCTCAAACCACACAAAAGAATTTCATGAAACCTTTTCAGATAATAAGGACATACTACGTAGATGTGCATATCGACAGGAAATTTCGATTCAATTTTTTTTCCAGGAGTTATGCCCCCTTGAACTTATTTGCCCAATATACTACTGCAACCTTTTGTCATCGCAACTCCTCTCAAACCACACAACAGAATGTCATGAAACCTTTTCAGATAATAAGGACATACTACGTAGATGTGCATATCGACCGGAAATTATGATTCAATTTTTTTTCCAGGAGTTACGCCCTTTGAACTTATTTGCCCAATATACTACTGCAACCTTTTGTCATCGCAACTCCTCTCAAACCACACAACAGAATTTCATGAAACTGTGTAGATAATAAGGACATACTATGTAGATGTGCATATTGACAGGAAATTATGATTCAATTTTTTTTTCTGATACAATTTTTTTTTCTTACACTTATTTTATTTCTCCAATGACAATGTGGGGACGTGGGGTATGTGAGCGCGCTCACTAAGGTTCTTTCATTGCTAATGTTATGAAGTATAGTTTATTTTTGAAATATAAAATTAAAAGTATTTGTTGCTTAACTATTCATATGAAACTTTTGTTACATTGTTATTGTAGTATATAGCTGTGAATGTTCTGTTCTATTGATATTTTACAGAGTTGCTAGAACACACCTGCGACATTGCGGGTCTGTGACTGAATTAAAGTACCTATGCCTTATTTAAGCCTGGATTTTTAGTATTCGTATTGTCATCTGATAAAGTCATGCTGATTGTAAGGTGCAAAGTTATCTATGCTTTCAAAATCTTTCTGTTTGAACATTACAGCAGCAGATTCACTCATCTTTTGACATGAGTCGTGTTCCCCTGATGTATGTGATGTATATGTTGGTATATTGTGGAGGGATGGGATTTTTAATCTACTGTCTTGTAGACAATATGTTTGCTAAAAGTAAATTGTCACCTAACAGAATTAAACAATGGTAAGTATAGTATACTATCTGAAAAGCTTTTATAATAATTTTATAAATTTCTGAAAGTGGGGTTATTCAGCAATTACCTTGTATGTACATTCATCCAACAAATATTTTGTCACACTTTTCTCAGGAGCCACTGAACAGAATGACTTCATATTTGGACAGCAGCTTGACAGTGATGAGTTGTAACATGTTATCACTTTTTGAATCTTTCAGACACCTACTTCCTGTTGGCCAAAACTTTAAATAATTGTATTTGTTGAATGAACTTAAAATATTCATCACACATTTCTGCAATACTAGTGTACAGAATGACTTCATATTTGGTAAGCAGCTCAACAGTGATAATTTGTAAGATGTGTGTGTGTTTTAGATCTATGGGACATCTACTTCCTATTTGCTGATACTTTGATCTTTTCCAACATGTTGAATGAAAACAAACATATACTTTGTCTGTTTTCTCAAAAACTACTGACCAGAATGACTTCACAATTGGCCAACAGCTTGACGATAATGAGTTACATTGTCTAAGCACTTTTTTGATCAGTCAGACACCTACTACCTGTTTACTTTTTTTGGCCAACTGTTGTTTAATGACACCCTGTGAATGCAACTCCTCTGAAAACATATGTTTGAAAGCTAGCTTACTTATTCAGATTTATTTTCATAGTGTTTACTTCATCATATTTTATCACCATTTTTTTTTTTTTTTTTTTTTGTGAGTCAATGAACTTTTACTCTTTTGGGCCTATTGTAGCATACTAAAAGCTTTTGAACACAACTTTATTTTAGGTTTTTTGACTGGTAAAAAAAGGGGTAATATAAATAAAAAATAATGAATACACAGTACTTCATATCTACTTTAATCATATTTTATTTGATTAATTTTAGGGTTAGTATATTAGTTGTAATCAGCACATGGACTGGAGCCCTGTTTTATTTTATGATGGCAGCCTACCTTGTAGAATCAGCAATAGAAAGTAATGTAACCAGACTGGTATATGTTTTAGTAAGTATATAGTCTTCCATATAAGTTTATATGTCCACGTATTAAGATATAATGAATTTGACCTTGCTATTTCAGGGCTCACGCTACAGGGGGAATGGGGCAAAGAAGTCACTTTCCTATCCGTCAGTTTGCTTTGCCCAACAGTCAAAAGCGATATCTAGTCACCGGGGTGTTCGCAGTAGTGGCTTTCAGTTGATTTCGTCATCTGCAATTTTCCATTTTTACCAAATCAATGAAACAGCAATTTTTTATTTATAAGAAAAGAAATTCAAAGACAAAAGATTTATTTCTGTAGAAAAAAGTTGAAAGCATTTACTTTACAGATTGGTCATATTTTATTTCAAAGAAACAACTTTTTAGAAAGTATTTTCGTTCACTTCGGGTACTTGTTACTTGAGAGCATACATCAAAACTTTTTTATTTTCGGCCAAAATAAGTTTGTTACTTCATTAGAACGTGATGAATATTGCCTTTAGATAATGTTTCATCCATTTTAAAAAACTCATATCTCATTCCAATTTGCTTGTCAAACATTGTTTATTTTTGTAAATTTTTCTTTGTCCGCCATTGAAATATTTATACTACCATGGATCTGAGGTGGAATACAACCGAGTCAGACCAGCTACGATAATAACAAGATGCAAGTATGGCACAGCTGACAGAAGAATAATGATCCTAACAATGAAAATTACTTTCCACATTCATCAACAGACTTTTGGTTATATCTCGTTGCTAAATGTATATATGTCCATGTAAATGCAGTGTTTCAATTTATTGATTTAAGTTTGGGATTATTACTTTTTTTTTATTGTTTTTAATGAGAAGCAATGAATTTTATAAACATGATAAACATGATAGTTTCTGATGAATTTTAATTGATGTATGAGACTTTCTTTTCCTTTTTGATATAAAAAAAAAAGTTCTTTATATAGTGCTAGATATTTAGTTGGTAGTTTCTGACAAGAGGAAAAAATATAATTGTGTAACTATAAATGATTGTTTAAGACACAAACTGAAACAACTGTTATTTTATTTGTGTTCTCAGGTATTATTTGAACAATATAAGAAAGAATTAAAATAATTGGATACATATGGTCCTTTATATTATTGTAAAATCCAAACATTGTAGCGACACAAACGAGCGCTTCTCTTTTAAGTCTCACCACTTCTCCTTATCAGTTTCAAAAAGAGGAGTCACTTCTCCCTATGATTCTGAAATAGTGTGAGCTCTGTAGCTGTATGATTTTAACCCTACCATCTTATGTTTTTAATGTAAATTAATGAATTCAACCCTACTTTTTGTGATAATTTCTATGTAATTTAATGAATTTAAAACTGATATCTTTAATTTTTGTCGAGCCTGTGACTTTTGTCGCAGAAAGCTCGACAAAGGGATAGTGATCCAGCAGCGGCTGCGTTAGCTAACTTCTTAAATTTTAGAAGCTAGAAGACCTGGATGCTTCATACTTTGTATATAGATGCCTTATGTAACGAAGTTTCCGTCTGTCAAATGTCCAATGTCCTTGACCTCATTTTCATGGTTCAGTGACTACTTGAAAAAAAAGTCAACTTTTTTTGTAATGTTAATTTCATTCTTATTATGAGTAATAGGATAACTATATTTAGACAATTTTCATTTGACCTGGACCTCATTTCATGGATCAGTGAACAAGGTTAAGTTTTCGTGGTCAAGTCCATATATCAGATACTATAAGCAGTAGGTCTACTATATTTGGTATATGGAATGATTGTAAGGTGTACATGTCCAACTGGTAGGTGTCATCTGACCTTGACCTCATTTTCATGGTTCAGTGGTCAAAGTTAAGTTTTTGAGTTTTGGTCTTTTTTTCTAATACTATATGCAATAGGTCAACTATAAATGGTGTATGGAAATATTTTATGATGTACATGTCAGTCTCACAGGTTTTATTTGACCTTGACCTCATTTTCACGGTTCATTTCTCAGTGTAAAGTTTTTGTGTTTTGGTCTGTTTTTCTTCAATTATAAGCAATAGATCAACTATATTTGATGTATGGAAGGATTGCAAGGTGTATATGTCTGTCTGGCAGGTATCATCTGACCTTGACCTCATTTTCATGGTTCATTGGTCAATGTTAAGTTTTCATGGTTAAGTTTGTTTCTTAGATACTATAAGCAATAGGTCAACTATATTTAATGCCTAAATTGGTTGTAAGGTGTACATGTCTGTCTGGCATGGTTCATCTGACCTTGACCTCATTTTCATGGTTCATTGGTCAATGTTAAGTTTTCTAGATTAAGACTGTTTCTTAGAAACAATAAGCAATAGGTAAACTATGTTTGGTTTATTGAATGATTGTAAGGTGTACATGTATTTCTCGTTTGGTTTATCTGACTTTGACCTCATTTTCTTGGATCATGTTAAGTTTATGTGTTACTTGTAGTAAAGCTTTGTATTTAGGACTATCAACATAAAATCAATGGTAAGTAAAGAAGGCGAGACATTTTAGCGTGTGCACTCTTTTTAAGTAAAGTGTCATTTTTGAAATGATTGTCTAGGGGTGAACTAATGATTAATTATGCATTTTTAATATAAATGTTCATCATATTACCATGTAAGCTACATTGTTGATGTAAGACATACATATATTTTTTTAGGGTGAAGCATTGGAACATAATGCAGAAGTAACAAAGTTATCTAATATGATAAGTTACTGGAAGACTGTACCGCAGACAGGAACACTGACATTACTTGGCCTGGTAACCATTAGAGACTTCATGCACTATATTCAATATTATTTTATACCCATTATGACAATACTCATAACACCAATTGTCAAACTTGTTATGTCATTGTATTCTGTTTATACATTTTCTAGTGAACAGTACAACAGACACGGACACTGACATACATGGTACCCATTCATAATCTCTTACAATGCATAAGCTCTAATACAAAGTGTGTGAAGAACATATTCCAATTTATTGAGGTTTTTTGGGGGGTAAAAAGAAGACAACTCTAACGTGAAAATATTTTGTCACTCTATAAATTTTGATATGTAAAATGTACAAATTAAGTTTGTTAAAAAAAAATTATATTATTACAATAGCATCCATCATTACTCTTTCAACTTGTCATTAACACAATCCGTCCTCTTTCCCTCGATTGTGACTTTACTGAATGAGACTAATCACATGATTTGTATGGTATGAGCAACTCGATGAGTGCCACATGTGAACAGGAACTACTTACCCTTTTGGATTTTTGGTGGGTTTCATGTTGCCCTAACGCATTATCCTTGTAATATTTTTGTCTCGCCTTGACACAGTCAAAAAGCGAGACATAGGTATGCTGTTTCTGGCGGTGATGGTGTCAACAATATATTAGTTTGTGATTAGGTCTCCTTTATGGTGAACCACTAGTGGTAGGTCAATGATATTTGGTATGCAGTTGTATTAGCATTGGCACATCTCATTACCATGGAGTTTATTTGGCCCTGCCCCCTCAGTCATGGTCTATTGACTTTGAAACTTTGCTTAGTTTACATGTATTAGTTTGTGATTAGGTCAGTTTACGGGGAACCACTAGTGATAGATCAGTGATATTTGGTATGAAGATGTATAAGCGTTGGCATATCTAATTTCCATGGAGATTATTTGGCCCTGCCCCCTCAGTCATGGTCTATTGACTTTGAAACTTTTGCTTAGTTTTCATGTATTAGTTTGTGATTAGGTCAGTTTATGGGGAACCACTAGTGGTAGGTCAATGATATTTGGTATGCAGTTGTATAAGCATTGGCATATCTCATTTCCATGGAGATTATTTGGTCTAGCCCCCTCAGTCATGGTCTATTGACTTTGAAACTTTTGCTTAGTTTACATGTATTAGTTTGTGATTAGGTCTCGTTTATGGGGAACCACTAGTGGTAGATCAGTGATATTTGGTATGAAGATGTATAAGCATTGGCATATCTAATTTCCATTGAGAATATTTGGCCCCACCCTCTCAGTCGTGGTCTATTTACTTTGAAACTTTTGCTTAGTTTACATGTATTAGTTTGTGATTAGATCAGTTTAAGATTAACCATTAATGTTAAGTCAATGATATTTGGTATGCAAACTTATTGGCATTTGCCAGTCTCCTTTCCATTGAGATTATATAGCCCCACCCCCTTATCAAGGTTCATTGACTTTGAAACTTTTCCAAAGTTTACAAGTTAATGTTTGTGTTTAGGTTTGTTTAAAGAGAACGACTTATGATAAGTCAATGGTATTTGGTATGCAGTTGTATTAGCATTGGCACATCTCATTTTTATGTAGATTGTGTAGCCATGTACCTTCAGTCATGGTTCATTGACTTTGAATATTTGCATAACTTACATGTTAAAGTATTGCTATTTTAATTTCAACATTAGCATTATCAAAATTACAAAAAGGCGAGACATATCTCTTTGTAAACAGTTTATGTTATTGTTGGTTGATTTTAGTCGTCCTTTTTTTTGTCAAGGTGTGATGTCTGTTTTTGTTGGATTTATGAATTTCGATTTGCCCCTTGGTTTCTTCACACTTTTATAGAACTTTTGAAAAATATCACATTAAGCATAAGCAGAAAGTAGATAATCTATCATAAATTGGTTTTATCTTATAACATGATTCAAAATGATTTAGATTTTTCTGTGTTTTTCACTGGGGTTACAGTCATTTGAGTCAACACAAAGAGTTATTACTTTTCAAGTAACATTCACTGCAATAACAAGTGTATTAGTTTATACATGACAGTGCAACAATATTTGGTATGTTAATTTTCTGTTTTAAATTATAAAATAATTGCCTATCTGACATCTGTCATTTGCCATTGAACTAATTTATTATTCAACTTTTAAGACAACGGTTTTGGATTAAGTATATTATCCAGTAACTTTGTATGGATAGTTGTTGGGTTCATTGTAAGAAAAAAATATCTGTCTGAGAGGTGTCATGACCCTGACCTACTTTTCGTACTGCAGTGATCATTATGAAGATTTTTTATTGGGTCTGTCCTACTTTAATTTTTGGAATGTGAATTCATTATAATACATCTATAAATGAATTTGACATTGGCCTTAGTTGTATGATGAAATTTCTTTTTTGTTATTGGTTTTACTGGTGATACCTTATAATTTGGTTTATCTAATTCTGTCTGCATTTAAACTGATTTTGACCAGTTTGATAATTTTGATATAACATACATTGATACATTTTGTTGTGTTTAATTTCACATCATTTCTATTTATCCGAATATTGCGCATTTTAAAAATTCCAAATTTAGCTATCTTGAGTGTATAAATACTGTTATCAACACGGTGGTGTCGTAGAATCTTTACTTATTAACTGTTGTTTTATATATGTGTTCAAAGTTATTATTGTTTTATATAGTTTTAGAAATATATATGTTCAAATTCTATAGAACCACTATCTATTATAATTTTTAACTAGTTAATAAAAGTTGAGTATTTTAACTTTTGTTTTGGTAAAAGTAAACTATACATTTGAAGGAAATAGTACTTTGCCACAAACTTGATAAATGGCATATAAGAGTTGAACATTTGGACTGAAATAAATCTTCTTGATTCCTGATAAATGGAGACTATATTCCCATAACAATACATTTTATCAATATCATATACACCCTACTAAAGTTGCAATTAAAAAATTTCCAATATGAAAATTATAAAAACCATAAAAAACTATTTTTTTTTCTCCACCATTTCAAAAGAAACAACATTGTAGGTTTCTGATTTTAATAGGTATTGAAACAATTATTGGCCTAAAATAGATATTTGCTGTGAAAGGGAAAGGGGTTGTAGATTGGAGAAAGGAGTCCTTATAATTTAGAAAAAACTATCAAATCTCTTAAATATATTTGTTTTGAAGAGCATATATGTTCACCTGAATCTATTCCCAATATCAACAGTTTCCAATCCTATAAAACCTTTTCAATATCGATTAGATATATGTTATGTAACCTCACATTAATGTAATTACAATGACAAAGATATACCTTAACTCAAAAACTAATGTGGAACGACTGAAACAATATGGTCAACTCTCATAAGAGAGGGGACATTCAAACTCATAATTCGAAAATAAACTGACAACGCCATGGCAAAAAAAAAAAGACCAAAAGACAAACAAAAATATACAAAACATAAAATATGAAAACTAAAGACTGTGCAACACGAACTCAACCAAAACCAGGGGTGATCTCAGGTGCCACATGTGACACCCTTCATATTGCTTATGTAAGTACAAACCCAGGGAGAATTCTAATTCGGTAGGTCACATTTGGGGAAAGGAAGGTGATATTGTGGTTACGACGATTGGAACATATCCGTTGTCATCTGTGGAACAGATTTTCCGTAACTGAACCAACTCTTGATGGCATCTCACTTAACAAGAGTCATTTTACTCTGTCATATATATATCCCATGTGCCTACTGAAGAAACACATATAGTACTTTATATGTCTCTGGTCTACAAATATCCATTTAAAATGCCTGTACTAAGTCAGGAATGTGACAGTTTTTCCCATTCATCCATCAAAAATGCCTGTACAAAGTCAGGAATATGACAGTTGCTTTCTATTCTACCCCATCAAACATGTATGTACAAAGTCAGGAATATGACATTTGTTTTCCATTTGTTCCACTGGTTGATATAGTCTAACGTTTGATTTTGTCAGTTTTTTGGACCCCCCCTTTTTTGAATTTACCTGTATCTATCTGTATACTACTGTCTTATTTAATTCACAATTTTCTGGGAGTATATTATGTCCCAGTTATTTTACAATATTGTCTTGGTATGTTTTTCGACACTTCATGTAATTTCTTCGGTTACTTAATCATGCAACCATCATACAATTTCTTTCTGTTGTGAGAATTTATGTTGCACACCATTAATATGCAATTGAATGACATTAGATTGTATTTGATATCTACTTTTGTGCCCCATATCTTGATTTTTTAAACATGCAGATCAATCTAGCCTGTTGCCTCTATAAGACGGATTTCAAGTCAGTCAAATGAGAGGGTGAGCTGTATTTACACTTGCACATGATCAATTTTTGTCAAATACTTCAAGGGTACAATTCCTTTTTCAATAATGCTGAAGGAGAGTGTGAAGATCGTGTTGTTTAAGCCGTTGTCGTTAAATTCTAAAAACCCTTCACCCCCTTTCAATATTTTTATGTGAATGAAAGAGCTCATTGTTGGAAGATGTATTTTGACTATCTGTTAAACACCTTTAGAATAACTATATTGTACAGCAAAATGAGGATGAGTTTTATGAATGTGAACTACACCACTTTGCCTTATTTCTAACTCGTCACATATATAGTTACATATATCTTCTGTATGTAACATATCCATGTATTTTCATGAAAAGTAATGAACATAAAAACTGCTATCGATTTTTCTTAGTAAAAACTCATCGAATACAACAGGCTTATAAGTGTTTACCCCAGACGTGCGTTTCGTCTACATTAGATCCATCAGTGGCGCTCGAATGGAAACAGTTGGTAAGCCAATCAAAAACGAACTTGTAGAGCTTTATAAAATAACCGAAAATTCCAAACATTTGTGCCAAATACAGTTTAGTCAATATATACATGAGGGTTAAAAACCTTAATGATTGAAATAATTCAGTATTTGATATACGATAAATTTACAGATGAACAGCTCAATTTCATGCCAACAAAAAAGTGCTGACTACTGGGGCATAGACCCAGTGGTCATAAAATCCCATCAAAGATACCAGGCTTATAATTTTGTACGCCAGACGCGCTTTACGTCAACAAAAAATTCAGCATCGCTTTACGTCATCAAAAGTGACGCTCGAATCAATGGAGTCAAAAGTCGGACAGCATTGTGGACCCAAAATTCCGAAAGATTTCTGCCAAATAAAGTTAAGTCGGTCTATTCCTTGACTAGAAACATCTTACTATTTTGAATAATTCAACATTTTATATAACGTAAATTTACAGAAAATGAACATATACCAATGTCAACAAAAAACTGCTGACTACTGAGCTGGTGATATCCTCGGGGACGAACGTCCACCAGCAGTGGACTGCAGTAAACATTGCATATTCAACATAAAAAGTTGTTTATATGTGACCTACCGAATTAAACTAATTACCGAGTTTGTACTTACATGACCATTGTCCAACACGACGGATGCCACATGTGACACATGATCTCATTCTGCTTACATGACCTCCGGAGCACATGAGATCACCCTCGGATTTGGTGGGGGTATTTTTGCTAAGTCTTTAGTTTTCTATGTTGTGTTTTGTATACTGTTTTTTGTCATTGATCGTTTTTCTTTTCTTGCCATGGAATAGTCCGGATTTTTTTTTTCGACTTACGAGTTTGAAAATACCTTTGATATCATTCGTCTCTCGTTTATAAAGGTTAACTGCATTGCTATAATTATCAAATATATCTTTCCTGATTGCTTTAGACATGTTACATGTGGAATGCACACATAAAATATCGCAACCAATTGTATGTATATGACGACTAAAAAAAGTTCAGTTCTAGTTTATAGACCTGTTTATAAAAAAATTACGAAACATAAAGTACAACTCTATACATTGATAAATACTATATTTACACAACCATAAATGTTTTGCAATTTCTAATATTTCTTGAATTTCCTATTATTGTAATCAGTTATGTTTTACAGCATTTCAATGTTTTGACGATTTTCTACACGTGAATTTAAGAATGTGTATAAAGAAATCGTGAAATACTCCTACTCATGGTTTGCTCTGTGTTGAATGGTATACAACTAGGATCAACTACGGTTAATTTCAGCATTCAAGGTGACTGACTCTTTTTTGTATTGGTTGTCTTTGTGCTAAATGTGCTTATTTCCTTTCGCTTTTTTTTTCTTTTGGGATTTGAACGTTCATCTTTTATCATATTAACTAAATCTCGTACCTGTAAAAAAAAATACTGTTATGTATTGAGCTATTTCAATGAACTAGCTTATAACAAGGCGAATGGATGGTATTAAAGAGGAGTACCTGGAGGAAGAATTTATGTTGAAAAAAAGTAAAATAACAAAAATACCGAACTCAAAGGAAAATTCAAAACGGAAAGTCCCTTATCAAATGGCAAAATCAAAAACTCAAACACATCAAACGAATGGAAAACAACTGTCATACTCCTGACTTGGTACAGGCATTTCTTAATGTAGAAAATGGTGAATTAAACCTGGTTTTATAGCTAGCTAAACCTCTCACTTGTATGACAGTCGCATCAAATTCCATTAACAACAATGTGTGAACAAAACAGACATAATAGGTAAAATTGTCAAAAATAGGGGTACAGCAGTCAAGTGTTCATGAGGTCTTTTTTGTTCTTTTTTGTTATCAGAATAACACGTACTTCATACTTGTAAATGAAAATAACACTATAAATTTCGTGCGTCCGAAGACAAATTATTTAAAAAAATTAAGGCTCCAACTCGCTCAGGCAAAGTTGAACTTGGCTATTAGTTAGATCCGTTTCGGTCATACAGCTAACATTTATACGTATCAATATAGCCCTGGCTTTCAGATGATTGAGTTTGAGCGTTCCTGATGAAGGTAAATCCAGAAAAGCGCTTTGCACACATGTTATGTCCTTATACCTGCTTTAATGTTGGCAAGGTACTTTATCGAAACATTATGATAGTAGTTCAACTTGATATTTTATCTATACGATATGCCTGCTTTAATGTCGACAATGTGCATTGTCGATGCATTTATATAATAGCAGACCTTGATATTTTTATATGTACCATGTACTGCTTAAATGTTGATAATGCACCTTGTCGATCCATTAAGACAGCAGTTAACCTTGATATGTTATCCATACCATGTACTTGTTTTAATGTTAGTAATGCACCTTGGCCATCCATTAAGATAATAGCAGACCTTAATATGTACCCTGTACCTGTTTTAGTGATCACAATGTACCTTATCATTATAAATAAGAAGATGTGATATGAGTGCCAATGAGACAACTCTCTATCCAAGTCACAATGTATAAAAAGTTAACAATTATATGTCAAAGTACGACCTTCAAAACGGAGCCTTGGCTCACACCGAACAGCAAGCTATAAAGGGCCCTAAAAATGACTATAGTGTAAAACAATCTATTAAGAAAATAGTAAATTAAGGAAACAGTAGTTTACCGATGTTGAAATCTCATAATTCGATTAAGAAGACAAATCAAGGCAACACACAAACAGCGAGGGAATCGTTTACACTCTAAAAGGAGCGAGACCGGGTGTATAGACATAGAGTTAAAGATCTCCTGCTATACACAAACACCGTGGGAATCGCTTACACTCTAAAAGGAGCAAGATCGGGTGTATAGACATAGAGTTAAAGATCTCCTGCTATACACAAACACCGTGGGAATCGCTTACACTCTAAAAGGAGCAAAATCGGGTGTATAGACATAGAGTTAAAGATCTCCTGCTATACAAAAACACCGTGGGAATCGCTTACACTCTAAAAGGAGCGAGACCGGGTGTATAGCCTAGAGTTAAAGATCTCCTGCTATACACAAACACCGTGGGAATCGCTTACACTCTAAAAGGAGCAAGATCGGGTGTATAGACATAGAGTTAAAGATCTCCTGCTATACACAAACACCGTGGGAATCGCTTACACTCTAAAAGGAGCAAAATCGGGTGTATAGACATAGAGTTAAATATCTCCTGCTATACACAAACACCGTGGGAATCGCTTACACTCTAAAAGGAGCAAGATCGGGTGTATAGACATAGAGTTAAAGATCTCCTGCTATACACAAACACCGTGGGAATCGCTTACACTCTAAAAGGAGCAAATCGGGTGTATAGACATAGAGTTAAAGATCTCCTGCTATACAAAAACACCGTGGGAATCGCTTACACTCTAAAAGGAGCGAGACCGGGTGTATAGCCTAGAGTTAAAGATCTCCTGCTATACACAAACACCGTGGGAATCGCTTACACTCTAAAAGGAGCAAGATCGGGTGTATAGACATAGAGTTAAAGATCTCCTGCTATACACAAACACCGTGGGAATCGCTTACACTCTAAAAGGAGCAAAATCGGGTGTATAGACATAGAGTTAAATATCTCCTGCTATACACAAACACCGAGGGAATCGCTTACACTCTAAAAGGAGCGAGACCGGGTGTATAGCCTAGAGTTAAAGATCTCCTGCTATACACAAACACCGAGGAAATCGCTTACACTCTAAAAGGAGCAAGACAATGTGTATAGACATAGAGTTAAAGGTCTCCTGCTATACACAAACACCGAGGGAATCGCTTACACTCCAAAAAGAGAGAGAACGGGTGCATAGACATAGATTTAAAGGTTTCCTGCTATACATGGTACATAGACATAGAGTTAAAGGTCTCCTGCAATACATGGTACATAGACATAGAGTTAAAGGTCTCCTTTAATACATAGTACATAGTCATAGAGTTAAAGGTTTCCTGCTATACATAAATCACCCACCATGTGAATGAATATAGACATAATACTAAAGGTCTCCTACTTAACATAAATCACACACCATTTAAATCCACATAGACATAGAGTTAAGGTCTCCTGCTATACATAAATCACACACCAAGTGCATCCACATAGACAAAGAGTTGAGTTAAAGGTTTCCTGCTATACATAAATCACCCACCATGTGAATCATCGTAGACATAGAGTTAAAGGTCTCCTGCTATACATAAATCACCCACCATGTGAATTCACATAAACATAGAGTTAAAGGTTTCCTTCTATACATAAATCACCCACCATGTGAATCCACATAGACAGAGTTAAAGGCCACCTGCTGTACATGGTACATAGACATAGAGTTAAAGGTCTCCTGCTATACATGGTACATAGACATTGAGTTAAAGGTCTCCTGCTATACATGGTGCATATACATAGAGTTAAAGGTCTCCTGCTATACATGGTACATAGACATAAAGATAAAGGTCTCCTGCTATACATGGTACAAAGACATAGAGTTAAAGGTCTCCTGCTACACATGGTACATAGACATTGAGTTAAAGGTCTCCTGCTATTCATGGTACATAGACATAGAGTTAAAGGTTTCCTGCTATACATGGGACATAGACATAGAGTTAAAGGTCTCCTGCTATACATGGTACATATACATAGTGTTAAAGGTCTCCTACTATACATGGTACATATACGTAAAGTTTAAGGTGTCCTGCTATACATGGTACATAGACATTGAGTTTAAGGTCTCCTGCAATACATGGTACATAGGCATAGAGTTAAAGTCTCCTGCTATACAATTATCACCCACCATGCCAATCCACATAAACATAGAGTTAAAAGTCACCTACTATACATAAATCACAGACCATGTGAATCCACATAGACATAGAGTTAAAGGTTTCCTGCTATTTATATAAAGGTCTACTGCTATTTATATAATAGATATTAAAGATCTGGTCATTATCGTGATATATGGACTGCCCACAGGACAGTGGTATTGACTTAGAAAGCGATAATAACTGAGCCGTAGGCGAGGTCACTATCGCTGTCGCAGTCAATACCACTGTCTTACGGGCAGTCCATGTATCACGATAATGACCAAATCTTCAATAACTATTATGTTTATTTCATTGAGGAACCATGTTTTTAAAAATTCTCATCAATTCAAATTGTTCAAAGCAAACTCGAGCTATTGTACGATTTCTATAGGAAAGAGTAGAGACCAGCCATAGTGATAACTATAAGTCACTGCCATTCATTTAAGTGCAATTTTTCAGAATATGAATACAAAATAAAGTTTTCTATGATTTTATAATTCTTGTTGCTGAGTAGTTTGTCTCTATCAGCATCGGAAAGCACGGCAAAACGATCATTTGAGTTGTCTGTAGCAGACATGCCTTCCAGTTCAGTCATGTTCCAAACGTCTGAATCGCAATTGCATTTTATTAAAGGAACATCACTCTAAACAGAGAAACCACGCCACACTGGTCATCAACATGTAAAATTCCGTTAACGACCGGTTTTCTGGTCCGTTTTTTTCGGTTAAAGACCGATGGAATTTTTTACTAAAGAATAAAGAATGTCATGTGGCCCCTTGTTATCCAATAAGAGAAGCTAATTCATAACCGATATGAAATAAACATAAATCACACACCATGTGAATCCACATAGACATAGAGATAAAGGTTTCCTGCTATACATAAATCACCCACTGTGTGAATCCACATGGACATAGAGTTAAAGGTCTCTTGCAATACATGGTACATAGACATAAGAGTTAAAGGTCTCCTGTTATACATGGTACATAGATATAAAGTTAAAGGTCTCCTGCTATACATGGTACATAGACATAGAGTTAAAGGGTTCCTGCTATACATAAATCACCCATCATGTGAATCCACATAGACATAGAGTTAAAGGGTCTCCTGCTATACATCAATCACCCACCATGTGAATCCACATAGACATAGAATTAAAGGGTCTCCTGCTATACATCAATCACCCACCATGTGAATCCACATAGACATAGAGTTAAGGTCTCCTGCTATACATCAATCACCCACCATGTGAATCCACATAGACATAGAGTTAAAGGGTCTCCTGCTATACATCAATCACCCACCATGTGAATCCACATAGACATAGAGTTAAAGGGTCTCCTGCTATACATCAATCACCCACCATGTGAATCCACAAAGACATATAGTTAAAGGTCTCCTGCTATACATCAATCACCCACCATGTGAATCCACACTGAAGTCAAAATCTCACAGGACGCAATCTATAAAGTTACAGATTAGACGACTATTCTGTTATCTAAAGATCTAAGACTGAAAACATGTTGCTAGTGAGATCAAACATATCTTAGCGGACAACCAATTCATGAACCTTGATATTTTATCTGTACCATGTATTTGCTGCAATATTGGTATCTTGTCGATCCACTGTACATCCTTTAAAGTCATCATACATAATGTTCATGTAAGCTCTTGCCCTAACGATGTATTTAAAATCAAAGTCGAAAGAGTTTGATTTTTATTGGATTTTCAGAATCAGAGTAGATAACTTTTAATTATATATGTTGAAGATATTTTTGACTTTTTACATTGTATATCATATATAAAAGTAAATTTTCTCCTTTTGTTCAGTGGCTGGGTGTTTTGAATTTTATGTTTATTAGCTTTAGATATCAACTTCTGCAGTAAAGCTAGCTGGTACCGTTAATGTTCTTGTTAATGATAATAAGTACCTACCCAGACATAGAAAGTCCCAGCTGCCGGACTTTTTGATTTGATACTTGGGAGGTCATGTTTTTCTGTAAGTTTCTGAGCTTCCTCTAAAGCGTGCTCCCGTAATTGTGATGTTTGGAAAGTTTTAATTCTATGAAGTAAAGAATCGTTGCCAATGGTGGAGAGAACACTATGTATATCTTCCCAGGTCTGAAAAAGAAAAAATAAAGATTGAATTTAATTATTACCGAAGTCACCGAGCAATCATAAACATAAAATAAAGGAAATCTTTCGATTTTGGTTCCATCTATAACCTCAGTTGTTTTTGAATCTACAAGTATATGTATAGTAATTTGCATAAATTGCATAAAACGCTATGATCAAAAGAAAAGAAAAAATGTACTTCTTTCAATGGTTTGATTTTTTTTTCATACCTTATTTATATTAACCCAAGAATTTCTTTTATTTCAACAATTTGTTTATAAGGTATGATGCAAAAACCTTAATGTAAAGATTGATCAACTTCAATCCAACTAAACAGGATTGAAGGGTTGAGCTCGGGTTTTCTCTGAGGGCAAGTAGTTCTTGTTTTATGTATAAACATACATTTAACATATCTGCACTTTCTCCTAGCAACAAATAGACGGCTTTCATAGTATCAAATATTGCTGTAGGTGGGTTCTTATAGGTTTTCAATTCTGCCACGGTAGATGGTTTCATTTCTAAAATTTCATGGATCCATGTTGTATACACTTCATTGCGAGCGTCTTCGGCTTTCTTTGTTGTGTTCTTCAACTTTGCCTCAAATTTAGATTCTCGCGCCTTTTTTATTGCAGTATCGAGAGTTCCAAAGTGACGTCGTACAGTTGCATCAGTTAAATCTGCAAATAAAAGAAAAATAATAAGGACATCACAAAATCATGAAGCAATTATGTTTTTACATAAATCGTGTTAGAAGATACCGATCGCGAAAGGGTAATCAAATACTTTTAAATTGAGAAGTATTTTCAACTGATTTTACAGTTGGTTCGTATGTTGTGCTGTTACACAACTGTGTCAGTTTAGGGGAAGGTTGGGTACCTGGAAACATGTTTAACCCCGTCACATTCTGTTTTTGTCTGTAATTCAGTGGTTGTCATTGGTTGCTGTCAATCATAATTGTTTCTTCGTGTATTGTTGTGTACATACAACAGGCCGTTGGTTTTCTCGTTTGAATAGTTTTACATTTTGGCATGTTAGTGTCTTTCATAAATGGCTATACGGTATAGGTTTTGTTGATTGTTGAAGGCCGTACGGTGACCTACAGTTGGCTATACGGTGTAGGCTTTGTGGCTTATTAAAGGCCGTACGATGACCTATAATAGTTGGTATTGGCAAGATTCAAATGTTACATTTTTTCTGTCAATTTCCAGTTCTTGTAACTATGTAATTCTGCTTAAGCTAAGGTTTCAACTCCCTAGAGAAAAGTTGACCTTATAGAGTTTGGCTATTCTGTTAAGACCCTTTTGGTTGTGTGCTCTCGGAGTTTTATTTTGTGTCTTTCCAAACCTTTGGTCTCGACCGTAACTGATGAGGGCAGAGTCCAGAAGCCAAAACAATTTTAATCTAATATGTAGAATCGGTTTTCTTAATTTGCATATTGCCATTTTGACATTTAGTCTTCAAATACAAATGCATTAATACTATAAGTAATTTTTCATGGTGTATATTTAGGAGTTATGTCGTTGAACAACTTTGATAAAGACATCATTCTGTAATTCCTTATTTTTTCAATATTGCAAACCCAGCATTTGAAACTTTATTCTGATATTTGCACTATGCCAGTGATCGATAAGTCATCCATAGGAATTGTCCATATCTTACTGTCATTCTACTCCAACTTTCTGTTGAACTTTTAATAGAAAAATGTCATCAACTAACAAAAAATTTCACCATACATCATCTTTATCCAATCCTTTTATATTCTTGAAAAAAAAACCTGACTAATGATACAATTGTAAAAGTGACAGTCATGTCAAAATGATATGCTTGGTATAACAACCAAAATCGCTTCCCTATATCATATCTTGACAAAAGGTGTTGACGCTTATCCGTTGTTGAAGGCCTTTTTGTGAACTTATAATGTTTGTTTTGATTACATTGTTGGTCCATTACTTAGTAGTTCATGCATACCTGGCGTTTTCCTTTATTCATACCTACATGCCAATGAGACAACTCTCCACAAGAGACCAAACGACACAGACATTAACAACTATAAGTCACCGTACGGCCTTTCAACAATGAGTAAAAACCATACCGCATAATCAGCTATAAAAGGCCCCGAATGACAAATATAAAACAATTCAAACGAGAAAACTAACGGCCTGATTTATGTACAAAAATAAAGAACGAAAAAAAAATATGATCTACGGCAACAAACGACAACCACTGAATTACAGGCTCCTGACTTGGGACTATACATGTCTTCTTAGGGTATACTAATATTAACCTTTTCTTATTTTGAGGAAATCTCGTCTGCTTCTTGCCTTTTTGAGATCACCTTTATCTTCCAATGCCAGCTTGTCAAATCTCTCAATAACCTTGTCCATCTCATCTGGGTCCTTTGTCTGCTGTGTCAGTGTCACTAATTCTTTTCGCAGATTCTTTTCAAATGCATTCTGTGCAAAAAAAATGAGCAAACACATAAATACAGAGTTCGCGAAAAGTGTCAGTCCTCAGGATTTCACCACCAAAATTTTGTATAGGACTGACACAATTTTAGTATTTTTCAATAGAGTTAATAGTGAGGACCAGTAGATTTTCTTCAAGGACCACCAGGGAAAAAAAGATTTCGCGAACTCTGTAAATATGAATAAAAGTGACTGTAAGATATCGTATATGCCCATATGAGTTGACGACATTGATTGCTGTGTTTTTTTTTATTGTTATTTAGGGCGTTGAAAACAAACATTTTTACGTTTCTAAATCAAACTTATTATGAACCCTTATAGTCATATAAATGAGTCAATTAAAGATGGGTGATTACCTGCAGAACTCTTTAACAAAACTGTATAAAATAAATCAATAGAAAATATACATCCAGTTCAGTTCAGTTTTCATATACTAAGCGGTCTACAAATATGGAATTGAATTTAAGGGTGCTTCCATGGAAGTATAACAACCTCTCAACTTCTATGTAAGCTACAAAGCATGTGCCCATGGTGATTAATGCTTCACACTTTATTGATTTTGGCTTTTTCGTCTGTGTCCAGTTCTTAGATACCAAGTGACCTAGGTTTTAACTTGGTGATGCATCAAGGGAAGGAAAGGCTACTTCCGAGGTCAAACTGATCTACATATAACATTTCAGTGACTTTTAAATTTAATTTTTTCATGCATTCAATTCACATATAAGTAATTAATTGAAAATGTCTACTAGTATGTTGTTTGCTTTACGTCCTGTGGTTTAGATAAGTGAAATTTGAAACTTACTTATTTACAACCTTTAACTAAAATGTGATCACTGTTACCTACATTTTACATAAAATGTACGTCATATTTTAGTTATCAGATAGATATCAAATGACCAACATACATGATTTTTTATAAGAATAGATCATAACTGCATCTCAGTCTATTTCATAACAACTATTAAAGTTATCTGTGCTGTATTTTTTCTGTCGTATTTTCTGTTTTAATGTTAGCGTTATAATATTCATAATTGTCTTGTCCTTTATGAGAAAAACTGTTGGTGTGTTCATTTAAAACTTTAATATTCGGGTTTTTTTTAATTATAGAGTTATCTAACTTTTTAAAGAACAATATCTATATATTGCTTTTCGATTTATTTTCTCACCTCTTTTCTGTATGTTCTTGGACCTGCAGGGTCATCTGTTGTTATCAAATAATTGATTACATTTTCCTCTGGTAGTTTCTTTTTCTCTCTAGCATACACGCGCAGTGCAAATTCTCCATCTTCTGGTACCATAACTTTAACAACAAGTTCGCGATTTGTAATTCGTTGGTCAACATATTGTTCCAGTTCGGACGGTTTGTACTTGTTACCAACTAACTCGGACCGAATGAAAAGTTTCTTCGTTAACGTAAAGCCTATATATAGATATTGGCGAAGTTTGGTCAAAATCGTGCCATGTGTATGAGAAGGAGAAGTCAATCCATACTGCTCCAAGTTATTACTAGGTCCCCATCCGACGGCACCTGTATCGCAGGGTAATGGCGGGATATCTTCTATAGCAGTTTTACACACTAACTTAAAGTCACATACCCATTCGTTACTTTTCGGAGGAACACCACCATTTATTGTTAATTTATAGACTCCATCAATCGGAAATCTAACGGTAAATTTCCAGTTGCTATTGCATCTGTCCATTAGGACAAAATTGCTGAGCTGTGTTTTCTTTGGTAGCACCATGGTTGATTTCTTGTTATTAAAATACAATTGATAGGTCAACAAGCCTTGCCAGTTTTCTATTAAACTCTTTATTCCTATCTCAACTATTCCGTGTTTGGCTTTCTGTAGGCCTGGCAAGAGTGTAGCTACCTGTAACTTATTTTCAAAGTACGGTTGACGAAAGTAAGGTTCCTCTAAATATCTTTCTAATGTAAGTGGAACAGTTAATAACTGCCAGTCTGGATTGTCAGGAAAAGCAAAATGAACAAAAACATCCGGGTCAGTCAGAAAGAAAAACTCATTGAACTTCTTTACTGCTGATCCTGATGACGCTTTACTTCTCGACATCTTACCACCTGCAACATTATAAAAAATAGTCATTGTCAATAAAAAATAGTCTCATTCATGCTATATTGTTATTTTATTTGTTCAATGTTGTCGTTTGTTTCCGATTGCTTCATTTGAATTATATTTCGACTGTATCCTGACAAAGTTTATATCTATATAGATTATATCCTACTTGATTCCCTGAACTTAGCGAAAACTACTATCATGTCATATCGGTTGATGAGAAGCATGGATTTACAACTTATCCACCCAATTCATGTACATTCACACCTGCTATAAAGGTCAACTCTATGCAGCAAAAACATGTCTTGTCGGGTAACCCTATTCTGTTTCCGCTGTAGATTTATATTTGTATTTTGAACTTAAGTTCAAAGGTCACCTCTCTTATAATTAAGGTCAATTTTAAATTCTCTTGTCCCAAGGATTACCTTTATATACACGTTTGACTGTACCGTAGGGAGAATTTGGCTGATAAGAAATCATCTTTTAGACCCACAGAAAAAAGTTGGCGTATGATTAGTCGTTAATGTATTGAATACAGATTATAGTAAACTGAATTGATATTTCTACTTGGCGTACGTCTTTAAAAAAATTGTTCAAATCTCTACACCACAACTTTATTGTGTTATATGTCCTCCTGGGGTCCTACTTTAATGAATAAAATGTTAATCCTTTACATTTTTATTCCGTACGACCAGTTTACTCATTTTACTGTATTAATTACCCTCAATAAGAGTATACTTGTCTGTGATTCTACCTTCCACTGCAGAGTAAGCCCACAAAGGGAACACGAATCGCCAGTCACCATTTACGTGAATAGCACACCAGTTATTCCGCAATTGTTTGAGTTCTTCCAAAGGGTCACCTACATCATATACCACGCTTTTGGCAATACCTTTTATTAGTACTGCCTTTAATCCTGCAGCCCTAAATATAAAAATAATTTACAGCTTACTATGTTCAGCACAAATTAAACTTTTTCTATAAAAGTAGGAATATGTGGTATGATTGCCAATGAGACAACTCTCCACCAGAGACCACATGACGGGAGAAGTTAACAACTATAGGTTAACGTACGGCCTTCAACAATGTGCAAAACATTTAGTATAGTTTTCCTTCAGTTTACCGATTCTAGCTTTTAAACTGTTTTGCTTTTTGAAAAGTTTTGCAGTTTTGAAAATCAAAAAAAAGAAGAAAGGATGCTATGCATATCGCAAAATTCTTACACTTGAAATTATTTTCCTTGTACAGACATTTTGCTATTTTTGTCTTTTTGTCCATTTTTTTTTGGTCTATATGTTGTCTGTTTTTCTTACACTTTTTAAAGTTTTTAGTATTTTATTATTTGACTACCTTGTTATCTGCTGTTTTATACACGCATCGAGATTATCAGTGCCCAATAAACTGGCTTTGATAAATCAGGGCGTTAGTTTTCTCGTTTGAATTGTTTTACATTTGTCATTTGGGGGCCTTTTATGGCTTACTATGCTGTATGATGTTTGCTCATTAATGAAGGCCGTACGGTGTGACCTATAGTTGTTAACTTCTACGTCATTTGGTCTCTGGTGGAGAGATGTCTCATTGGCAATCAATCATACCACATCTTATTTTTGTTATAAATAATCTTGACAGATATTCTTCCATTCAACTGCTGTTTAGTATACTCATAGAGATCATGGGTGCCAATAAACTAGCTTTAAGAACCCTGCAACATGCTCACTTTTGTCCACTAGAGTTAAAATGATCTGGATGTAATCAACTTTAATATCAATCATTAAATCAGTACACATCAACGTATTTAGTGTAATGACTTCATAAACTTCATAATAACAAAATCACCGTAAAAAATAGGATGTCCCGTTTGTAGTACGGTTCGGACATATTTTTTGTCATCATTATTGATGTTTTTTATTATAATTATTATTATTACCTGCATATTTTGACGAAGAATGCTGCATATGACATCGTCTTTTTCTTGACTTTACTCATGTAGCTTAAGGGGGAATCCTCTTTTCCATTTGGAATACTTCCCGATTGGAAGTTTTGACATCCCATCCACACAAATAAGGATCGAACCTTTTCAATATCTGTCGTCATAGCTTGTGTAAGGTATTTAGCAAATGAATGCCAGGTTAAGCAAATGTTGAAATCTGCCTGTAGCGTGAAAAAATACCCAAAATATTATGATTTCTGAAACACAGATTTCGACGGAGGCCAATTTAGGACACCCCAAACATTTATTTTGAATTCGTGTTCATGAATTTAAAAGATCGTGATCATGGATTAAAATAGGTATCATGAATTGTATGATTTGTTATCACGGATTAAATTCGTTATCACAGATTTTTATAATTCGTGATGAAAGATCAAATTTAATTCGTTATCGCGAATTTGAACATTTCAAATTCGTTTGAGCGAATTTGATATTTCAATATCACAAACTTTGGAATTAGTTACAGCTAATTTAATTCGAAAATATATGATTTTTTTTATTTCGTGATCTCGAATTTAAATTATGTTTTTGGATGTTTTAAAAGGGATTCCGTAATACTTTACATAAAACATTAATTTCTCAAAGAATATAATTATGATTGTTCGCGTAAAGATCGCAATGTAGAATTTCAAACAATGTGTTTATGCTTTTATTGGCACATTTGTTTTAACAATAAGAAATAAATGTATAATACATCTTTTTCGTGTGTTTGTGTTCGTATGTGTTATGGGTTCTTCCGATAATTAGAAAGTGCACGCATCCTATTAACTTATACTGATCGCATTTTTGTAGTGGCAGTGTGGCTCAATTTCCAGGCTTATTGTTTTACTGTAATATAGTTGGATCTGCATAATAATAAAACGATGTTTTCAGCACAATGAATAACGCCACATTATCAATTTCTTACAATATTAATTTGCAAATCCACGCATGTTTTTCCATCTTTCCTACATGAGGTAAACTGTCGGAATGTGAATTAACCTTCCAAAAAAGAATACAAACATAAAAGAGGTTTGTAAAAATAATTAATTTACGTCATTTCCCTTTCTGAAAGCCGTTATATACTTTGTCCACATATGAAAAAATACACTCTTCAGGCCTCAAAAATTATATCCCGTTTATTGCGAATAAGTCTTATTTTCACGTTCCTCCTATCACATGATCCACTATTATAATACACCTCTCATTAAAACCAATCAAGAATTACATAACTTTAAATGTTTCGTGCAGATGAAATACAGAGAGTTTTATTCCTGGAAATGATATCTTGAAGGTAATTCCTGCAATGTAAAAGAACGTTTAGAATTTGATTGTTTTTACGCTGCTTCTACGCAAGTTTTTATGGGGTTCCCGTTACTTGCTCAACCGCATAAGTTTCAATTACATTGATTTGTGGGTTGTTGTTTGTTTTGGTCTTTTTTTTGTCATGGTGTTGTCTGTCCCTCTTCGACTTATAAGTTTGGGTTTTCTTGTCGATTTTCTTCCTTTTTTCAATTTCGTGTGGACTTAATGCAAGAATTGGTCGCTTGCTTGATTCATGTCCAATCTGAACCAACTGTATTGACTGCAAACGTATTATCTATCAAATGTAATTAAAATCACAGTAATCATACATGCACTTACACCAGTTTCATTTTGTCTTCCTTATTATAATCAATCAATTAACTTACACGTCTTGCGTTATACTCCAGTTCGGAATACCCTCCAGGAGTATAGATATGACCTTTTCTGTCTCTAGGAGGTCTTGGTCTAGGATAATTTCTTTCGGGTGTTCCTAGTTTCTCATTCATCTGCATGAAACAATTAGTAAATTCAATTTCCCTCATAATATTTTTTTGCTATATACTAAGTTATATGCATTCTCCAATCAACAAGCAAATGATACCAGTGTAAACTGCCCGATTTATAACTTTAATGTTTGAAAGGCAAATACATAATAAATACAGACAAACAAAGACGGACACTATACATTTCTGTAAGTGGAAAAGTTATGTGTATATTATTAAAAATCTGACTAACCATCGGTGAAAGTGTTATCATTGTACAATCCGATCTATACTAACCATCGGTGAAAGTGTTATCATTATACAATCCGATCTATACTAACCATCGGTGAAAGTGTTATCATTGTACAATCCGATCTATACTAACCATCGGTGAAAGTGTTATCATTATACAATCCGATCTATACTAACCATCGGTGAAAGTGTTATCATTGTACAATCCGATCTATACTAACCATCGGTGAAAGTGTTATCATTGTACAATCCGATCTATACTAACCATCGGTGAAAGTGTTATCATTATACAATCCGATCTATACTAACCATCGGTGAAAGTGTTATCATTATACAATCCGATCTATACTAACCATCGGTGAAAGTGTTATCATTATACAATCCGATCTATACTAACCATCGGTGAAAGTATTATCATTGTACAATCCGATCTATATATCATTTGTTTATACTAAGTTACAGATATCGTACATGTTTTGATTTACAGTTCTGAATGCCGTTTAACTCTACAATTAAATTCTGGCCTTCCAATTGTTATGATTCGAGGGCCACTAATGAGTTTTGTTTACACAAAACGCGCCTGGCGTACAAAGTTAAAAAGCGGATATTTCTATGATTTTTTTAAAAATGCTTACTAATTCCCGGTAAAAATTCCATCTCTATGCATTATACTTATTCCCGGTAAAAATACCATCTCTATGCATTATACTAATTCCCAGTAAAAATACCATCTCTATGCATTATACTAATTCTTAATGAAAATCCCATCACTACATTATAGTTTATAAGGGCAAGGGATTGAGAAGATCTTGAATTGTACATTTGAAGAGTTATACATCAGAAATGTATTATATGATAACACTTAATTTTATTGACAATTGATGATGGTGAGGAGGAACTTATGTTTAAAGGTCAGTGACAAATATAACATCAGAACGAGAACATGTTAATGTTATGAACCCTACTTTGATTTATATAGACTCCGCTGAACCAGATTTTTAACGTGTTAGTTCAAAAGTTACACCTAACAATCCACATGAAGACATATCTCAATTCCCCATGCTTGACGGAGGAGCAGAAAATACTAATTTTCAAGTCTTTGGTTTGACCCGGACGGGGATAGAATCCACAACATCTAGCACTCGAGGCAAGCATACTACCTCAAGACCACATATGGTATATTGACAATTGAAAATTCTGTTTTAAGCAAAAAGGAGTAACATCAATCATTGTTTGTACAGTTTCATTTTCAAAATTACTTTGCAATATCAGAAATAGACTACCCCGTTTACTGTGTATATTTCAACTTAATCTCAAATTTTTAAATCTGTTTAAATTTCTGAAGATATTAGACCAAAAGAATTAAACAAACTAAAGGTACAACTTCACAAAGTTATATTGATTTAGTACCCTTCTGCAGTACGTTAGTTATACCCACGGTTTTTGGTGAAATAAGTTTTGTTCGAATCTTTAGATTTCTGTGTAGTGTTTGTATACGCTTTTCCTCTCCTCCTTCATTTTCTTTTGGCATTGTCTGTGTGTTTCTTCAATTGACGATTTTTTACCGCACCATTGGTATCTTTTACTTTTTTTATGAGACCCTCACCATTAAACTGCTTTAAAATATTTTTGATATACACAGGATGTGTACACGGATAGATAAATATATATGTTAATTTTTGGGTCTTAATCTTTGCATCATTTTTATATCCAAAATGTGAACATCAAATGGTGTATTATCATTAGGAGTGTATGATGAAGAAAATATTAAATCAATAAGACTTGTCACCAGAGTTTCGGATTACAGATTAGGACGAAAATCATTACTTAGTGCATTACAATACGCTGGGGGAGAATTGAAACCAATATGTTGGAACGATTTAGAGCTTGACATGTTGTCTCATCTGTTTTTTGAAACTTATGTTGCCCTCCAGATGTGTTTTGGTTATTTTGTGGTTAGATTGCAGCCTCATTGAATTATTAACCACATCTCCTTTAATTCATACTGTCGTATAATTTAGGCTTCATCCGTTTAGTCCGCATTCAAAATGTCAAATGAATACAGTTTTATGAGGGTTTAGTTGCGGTCTTTTTTTTTATATATTCTTTAATTTTTAGGCCATGTTCTCTATTCTCTATTCACTTTTCCTTTAATATTTAAGCACCCCATTATTCTCTATTATTTGTTTTTATTTTGCCTATTTTTCTGTATTCTTTATATGTTTAGCACTTTATTCTCAAGCTTTGCCCATTATTCCCTATTCAGTAAACCCCATCCATACTCACCTTCTCATTTCGGGTTTCGAGAAGATCCCTTTTTCTTCTGGAATCTTTTGACGGAAAACCGTCCATAGATGCAGCACATCCCATTTTTGACGGACATTGGAAAGTTCACATATTTTGGTTCATTATCAATACACGCTAATCACATATTTCATTAATATATATTTATTTTCAATGTCACCATTTTGTATGATGTTTCCACATTTTGTACGTTTGTTATGATAAGTTCTGTTACTATTTGACAAATGGTATTATAATACATTGAAAAGTGAACAGATTTAGAAAAAAAATGTATATCTTTCTGTATTGTTAAAGATCTGTTCACGCCTCTCTGAATTCAAAAACAATGCATATTATTAACCCTAACAAAGATTTAAAATGAAATCGTACTGGATATTGTTTCATAGGTATTGAACTAAACAATTGTAACTTTATTGGGTCTTTTCACAATTAATTATATTTAAATGTCACAATACTGCGCTGTTTAATTTCACAATGTATAAAATGAGATCATTGTACGACACATTTATTTAATTTAGGTTATCAGTAGATCAGATGTACAGGTTCAGTGTGGACTCTGCAGCCGTTTATAAATGTCTCGCACCCTTTCCCAAATTTTGGATCCTGCTCTGACGGTAATACTGTTTCACCATAACAAAAATATCTCAAAATAAGGAGATGTGGTATAATGGATAAAAAGAAAAGTATGCACTAAAAATGAGTTGCTTAATGTTTGTAAAGCAATTGTTATATATTTTGTGCATTGAAAATGCGTGGTACCTCTCTCCCTTCCCCTCATTGAATGGTGGGCTCCACAAGTGACCTCTTAATCAGTACAGATTGTCAGAGTAAAAGCGGCAAGTTAATATTATGGACATGTAAGATGATCTTGCATACCGTGATGTTGGCTAATTGTGTTGTTTACTTACATTGAACTTGGCAGCGGCCATCTAAAATGACTGGTGATTCTTAAAGATTCTCCACTGAATATTTCCTTGCGTTTTAATGGTAAAAATCAGAAAACAACATTTTAGAAATGTTAATCGTTCAAAGCTCTTTTTCTTGATTTACCTTCACCAAGAACGCTCTAACAATATAGTTGAAAGATATGCGAAGGAGAAGAATAGAAATAGCATGAGATTTTTTATCGATATACCTTTCATTTTTTTAAACTGTCTGTACCAAGAAATTATATATTAGCTGTTTGCTGATTTTGGAACTCATTGCAGTAGCAGTTGATTCCTTTTGCGTTGTTTTGAGAAATATGTTCATCTTCATTTCTTACTTTTTCATTTATGTACAAAGTATAAGGATTTTATAATCATTCATGTAAATAAAACTATTTATTTCATCTAAAAATACATATCCACAATGGTTGACTGGGGTATAGAATAAGGTCGTCCAGGAACTTTCTCCCGTTCGGCAGTAAAATTCTTGCTAAAGAAGGGTGTCCGTTTGGCTTTGCGGGATGTATAAAACATCCCACGGTCTCGTTCAAATTATGAAGTTAAACTACGTGCAAAGCTCTGTTTCTTTGCCCGGTTTTGGCTATACCTGTTGTCCTTGTTAGTTTTATCACCTCTTCAATATCTGTATTCGTTTTGAATTTTCAAACATTTGGCCTCGGGCATCACTGAAGAGACATTAATTGTTGAAATGCGCATCATGGCTGATGCAGTAAAATTGAAACCGTTAACGTTATTATTACCACATGGCCGATACCTCTGCTGGTGGACTGTTCGCCCCATAGGGTATCACCATCCCAGTAGCCAGTATTCCGGTACTGGTATGAAAATACGGATATTGTGTTATCATAATTTGCTGTTTTAAAATTTTGGAAGTTATATCTCCCTCGTGCAAAATCTGGTTCCTTGTCAGGATTTGGCTATACTGTTTGTCCTTTTTGGTTGTATCAGCTCTTCAATATCTGAATTAGTTTTGGATTTTCAAATAGTTTTGCCTCGGGCATCATTAATGAGGCATTAATTGTCGAAATGCGCATCTGGTGGAACCATTAATGGCATTAAACCCAATTCCTTAGTACGGTGATTGCCAAACGTCTCTGCACATTAAAGAACCTTTGCAGCAACTATCTGGCCTGTTTCAAGTCACAATTTCTGCCTCTTTCAAACATGCCTTCATTTTATAGTAGCAGTCCAAAGGACATTGTGCCATGACGTCATTTTGGAATTTAATATATTACTGAAATGGAACTTTCAACTAAAGATATCCATTTGTGTATAATTGAGAGATGAAGTAAAACCAAAACAAATAAAGAGTTGCGCCATGAGCGCATGATACGCCGGTGGCTTTTTCAACGAATAAAGTTCGTTTTTCAACGAATAAAGTTCCATAACTCCTCAATGTCATATCAGAAATTTATAAAAAAAAACTAAAGGGAGGTTATTTTAATAGACATAAACCAGTCACCAAAGTTTCATGAAAACTGCTCAAAGCACTTTTGCTTTATTGTCTAAAAACTGGAAAATCCCCCCCCCCCCCCTTTTATGAATAAAATCCCATAACACGAAAACGTAAAATCTAACAATTTATAAAAATCGAATTAAATCAATAGATATAAACAATTCACCAAAGTTTCATGAAAACAGCTCAAAGCATTTTTGAGTTATTGTCCGAAAACTGGAAAATACCCCTTTTTTAATGGATAAAACCCCATAACTCGGAAATGAAAAATCTAAAATCTATAAAAATCGAAAGGGAGCTTACGTCAGTAGATATAAACAATTCACCAAAGTTTCATGAAAACTGCTGAAAGCATTTTTGAGTTATTGTCCGACATGTTGACGACGGACGGACGGACAGACGCACGGACAACGGTATACCATAATATGTCCCGTAAACGGGCGTATAAAACAGTAAGTTTACAAACCATGACATCATAATAAATGTAGTTGTGCATTCATTCTATCTAAAACTCCTTTCGGTTTCAATTTTGCACATACAAACAGTTTTCTTTACGCAAAATGCGTCATTATGCATGAAATATTTGCTAATGGACATAAAGAAAGCAACAATTTTTCAATGATTTAAAGAATGCACAGAGGAAGTGTTATTGAATATTCTTCATCTTTGTTTAATGACCACCTCTGTCACAATTGCATGTGTACTGTCTGTGCAGACTAGGGGGGGCACTATAAATTCATATAAAAAGTTTTTTTATTTTAATTGCTTGCACAGAGTTATACCAACCCTTAATTTCTTGACAGCCATTACCAACATAAAAATAATGTGCAAAAATTAACAAATGAAAATAGTTAATATTTTTAATATGGCACGTAAAACGAAATATACACACGTTATACAAACACACATATAAGATAACAAGATTATCATTATCAAAGAATGTCACAGACATACTTATGTATATCAACATCGATGGAAATATATTAACAAGTTGTAAGCAATGATAAATATAAATTGTATTGACAGTAAAGGTGCATACTTTATTATTTCACCTAATTCAACAGATATGACGTATTGATTACAATGGTTATATATTAAGATAATTTTTCCTGGTTATGTAGCTTCTGATTAACGCTTACCCTATTTGTTTTATTTTTATCCATATTTATAATATATTAAATTGATGTTCGAAGATGTATGACTTGCTATAAACTAATATTCTAACTCTCTCAGTTAAAGTTGACATCAGATGGTTTATGTCACCACTTTCTGGTCCACCTTAATGATACATGAAAAGAATAACAAGAATCATCAAAAATATCTGACATGAAAAGGATAACAAGTCCACAAAAACCATCAACACGCGACTATTCCGAACAAAACTAGACGTAAAAGAAACTACGAACAACAAATCGTCAAAATAACTACCAAAGAGAAAAAAGATTGATGTACATATTAACAGGTCACCGTCTTGCCATAAACAATGAGCAAAACACAAAACTATACATATGAAGCAATTCAAAAGTAAAAACCAACGGCCTAAATTAAGCTAATAACATTAAACGAAAAACAGTCAAGAAACAACGGCAACCAACATCTACTAGACTACAGGAGTTTGGTTTGGGACATGAACATAAAGAATGTGTTTGGGTTAAAATTATTTTCGGCCGTCCAAATTAATCAATTTCTTACTCTCTTCTGAGATCAAATATATTTCATCTCATAAATAAGCATAAACATGCAAAATTAAAGTGAAAATAATAAGATACAATGATAATTGACTGATGATATTTACACAATTTATATAGCCATTTATGTCTTTGTGCAGTTTGAATTATAATCCATAAATTATAATAAATACATTCATTTACACGTGTGCGGAATGCTGACTTACTCCCATTCATCACAAAATGTAAAGGTCAAGTCTGAGGATAAAAAATATATTACTAAAACTTATGAACCTGAGGGCGTATTAATTGCTGTCACACTAGCTAATTTCAGTTTACAGGTTCGGCTTAAGTGGTTTATGGTTAGGTTTAAAATCCTTTCTAAGCAGTTTATAAAAATATTTTAAAAAAGTTTTGATGACGTTTGGTAAAATTGTTCAAACCACACGAGGACGTGTTTAAACCGGTTTCGGTTTCGAACTAGTTCGGAACCAGTTTCGAAGAACAAAAAGAAGATATATCAAACCTACCAGAAAATGAAACCAGTTTAGAAGCAACAAATACGCAGTAAAATGTCTGATTCAACAAAAGCTTAACAAATGATGGTATACATACTTTTCTTAAAAGAAAAACAGACATGAAATGAAAACATCTTTAAACAATGAACCAAAGTACAGATACATGTAACTAAATAAACACTTTATAAGTATATAATTAAAAAAAGTTAAGTAAAAATTTGACGAAGTATGCATAATTATGTTAGTTTGTTAAGGCAATTAGAATGTAAGTAAAATGACAACAAAATATATTTGTCACTTACTTAAGTTGACAATTCTAACAATTATTTGTCTTATCTTTTTGTCTGATACTAAGTATTGTGTTATTTATCAATAATATAAATAATGAGCAATAATAATTTACCATTTATTTTTCATTGTATATATTTCGTTTCAGATTCTCTAATGTTGCTCAAAAAATTTGAATGACATTTTGTATACAAATTAATAGGATAGATAATTATCAAACGAAAATATTAAATCCAACACTTTAGCTATTATTTTTTTCTGCATTTACACCATCAAGCTGCCTCTTCAATCATACATATTAACATGATTCTGCTATGAATACAATTTTTGGAATGCGAAGACAACTGTCACAGTCAGTAAAATATAGTTGGTGGCCATAACAGAACTTTTGTTTTGGTTATCTTGTTTTACTTGTTCTTTGTCTAGAAAGGAAAAAAAAACATATAAACTTCAATAACATACTTCTAGTGTTGAAATGAAAAACATATAATAGTATTGGGATAAACGCCATTTGGAAAGCAACTCTTAAACATAATACAACTATAAAGGTTATCTAGAGGAACACATGGTCTTCAACAGTACGGTAGTGTATGTTATACATTTCAAGCTTGTCTTTAAGAGGACGACTTAAAGTCGCCAACAGTACACACGTGTCAGTTCTAACTGTCAAGCTTGTCATTTATATGGCAAAATTTACTCTTCAACAGTATAAAAGTGTCAGAATCAAATGTCGAGTTTGTCATTCAGAGGACAACATACAATTACCAACGGTACATTAATACCTGTATCAAATGCCAAGTTTGTCATTCAGAGGACAACATACAATTACCAAAGGTACATTAATACCTGTATCAAATGCCAGGTTTGTCATTCAGAGGACAACATACAATCACCAATGGTACATTAGCGCCTGTATCAAATGTCAAGTTTGTCATTCAGAGGACAACATACAATCACAAACGGTACATAATTGTCTGTAACAAATGTCAATCATGTCATTCAGAGGAAAACATACAATCACCAACGGTACATTAGTGTCTGTACCAAATGTCAATCTTGTCATTCAGAGGACAGCATACAATCACCAACGGTACATTAGTGTCTGTACCAAATGTCAATCTTGTCATTCAGAGGACACCATACAATCACCAACGGTACATTAGTGTCTGTACCAAATGTCAATCTTGTCATTCAGAGGACACCATACAATCGTCAACAGTACAAAAGTGTCTGTACCAAATATCAATCTTGTCATTCAGAGGACAACATACAATCACCAATGGAACATTAGTCTCCGTACCAAATATCAATCTTGTTATTCAGAGGAGAGCATACAATCACCAACGGTACATTAATGTCTGTACCAAATATCAATCTTGTCATTCAGATTGATTGATTGTTGGTTGCTTAACGTCCAGTGGCAAATATTTCATGCATATTCAGGACGAGTCATTCAGAGGACAGCATACAATCACCAACGGTACATTAATGTCTGTACCAAATATCAATCTTGTCATTCAGATGACAACATACAATCGTCAACGGTACATAAGTGTCTATACCAAAATCAATCCTGTCATTCAGAGGACAACATACAATCGTCAACAATACATTAGTGTCTATACCAAAATCAATCTTGTCATTCAGAGGACAACATACAATCACCAACGGTACATAAGTGTCTATACCAAAATCAATCCTTTCATTCAGTGGACAACATACAATCGTCAACAGTACATTTAGTGTCTATACCAAAATCAATCCTGTCATTCAGATGACAACATACAATGGTCAACGGTACATTAGTGTCTATACCAAAATCAATCCTGTCATTAAGGGGGCAACATACAATCGTCAACGGTACATTAGTGTCTATACCAAAATCAATCCTGTCATTCAGATGACAACATACAATCGTCAACGGAACATTAGTGTCTATACCAAAATCAATCCTGTCATTCAGAGTACAACATACAATCGTCAACAGTACATAAGTATCTATACCAAAATCAATCCTGTCATTCAGAGGACAACATACAATCGTCAACAGTACATAAGTGTCTATACCAAAATCAATCCTCTCATTCAGAGGACAACATACAATCGTCAACAGTACATTAGTGTCTATACCAAAATCAATCCTGTCATTCAGAGGACAACATACAATCGTCAACGGTTCATTAGTGTCTATACCAAAATCAATCCTGTCATTCAGAGGACAACATACAATCGTCAACGGTACATAAGTGTCTATACCAAAATAAATCCTGTCATTCAGAGGACAACATACAATCATCAACAGTACATTAGTGTCTAAAACAAAATCAATCCTGTCATTCAGTGGACAACATACAATCGTCAACAGTACATTAGTGTCTATACAAAATCAATGCTGTCATTCAGAGGACAACATACAATCGTCAACGGTACATTAGTGTCTATTTCAAAATCAATCCTGTCATTCAGAGGACAACATACAATTGTCAACGGTACATTAGTGTCTATACCAAAATCAATCCTGTCATTCAGAGGACAACATACAATGGTCAACGGTACATTAGTGTCTATATCAAAATCAATCCTGTCATTCAGAGGACAACATACAATCGTCAACGGTACATTAGTGTCTATACCAAAATCAATCCTGTCATTCAGAGGACAACATACAATCGTCAACGGTACATAAATGTCTATACCAAAATCAATCCTGTCATTCAGATGACAACATACAATCGTCAACAGTACATTAGTGTCCATACAAAATCAATCCTGTCATTCAGAGGACAACATGCAATCGTCAATGGTACATAAGTGTCTATACCAAAATCAATCCTGTCATTCAGTGGACAACATGCAATCCCCAACGGTACATTAGTGTTTATACCAAAATCAATCCTGTCATTCAGAGGACAACATACAATCGTCAACGGTACATTAGTGTCTATACCAAAATCAATCCTGTCATTCAGTGGACAACATACAATCGTCAACGGTACATTAGTGTCTATACCAAAACCAATCCTGTCATTCAGAGGACAACATACAATCGTCAACGTTACATTAGTGTCTATACCAAAATCAATCCTGTCATTCAGATGACAACATACAATCGTCAACAGTACATTAGTGTCTATACCAAAATCAATCCTGTCATTCAGAGGACAACATACAATCGTCAACGGTACATAAGTGTCTATACCAAAATCAATCCTGTCATTCAGTGGACAACATACAATCCCCAACGGTATATTAGTGTTTATACCAAAATCAATCCTGTCATTCAGAGGACAACATACAATCGTCAACAGTACATAAGGTCTACATAAGTGTGTATACCAAAATCAATCCTGTCATTCAGAGGACAACATACAATCGTCTACAGTACATAAGTGTCTATACCAAAATCAATCCTATCAATCAGAGGGCAACACACTATGGTGTTAAATTGATAGTCAGCACATAAGTGTATGTATCAATTGTAAAACGTGTCTTATTGTACCTTCTTTTTTTGTATACATTGTACATGTTTCGTTACAAACTGATGTGAAACATGATTCACTTGGAAATCAATAAAACATTTCAGTTTAGTAAAACTAATTATTTTAACCACAGAAGTAATTACTTTAGTCGTAATTATAGATGAACGCACTCTTGTTTCGTTTTTGAGAAGGAAAATCAGTAACAAAACTTTATGTTTGGAAACCTGAAAAACTACCCCAAACTGTAATATAACGTTAAAGATGGTCTTAAGGTTAGTGGTGACCATATTGTCTTAAGGTTAGTGGTGACCACATTGTCTTAAAGTTAGCGGTCGACATATGGTGTTAAGGTAATTGGTCACCCTATGATCTTACGGTTATGTCACCATATGGTCTTTATGTGAGGTCGCCGTATAGTCCTAATATTAATGGTCACCTTATGGTCTAAAGGTTCAGTCACCATATGGTTTTGAGGTTAGGTCACCATATGGTCTTAAGGTTCGGTCACCATATGGTCATAAGGTTAAGTCACCCTATGATCTTACGGTTCGTCACCATATGGTCTTAAGGTTAAGTGACCATATGGTCTTAATGTTAGGTTCTCACATTGTCTTAATGTGAGTGGTAAACCTATGGTCTTAAGGTTAGTCTTAATGTTAAGTCAGCATATGTTTTAAAGGTTAAGTCACCATATGGTCTTAAGGTTACGTCACCATATGGTCTTAAGGTTACGTCACAATAATATGGTCTATGTAAGGTCGCCATATGGTATCAAGGTTATAGTCACCATATGGTCTTAAGGTCAAGTCACTATATGGTCTTAAGGTTAGGTCACCATATGGTCTTAAGGTAGGTCACTATATGGTCTTAAGGTTACGTCACCATATGATCTTAAGGTTACGTCACCATATGATCTTAAGGTTACGACACAATAATATGGTCTAGGTAAGGTCGCCATATGGTATCAAGGTTATTGTCACCATATGGTCTTAAGGTCAAGTCACTATATGGTCTTAAGGTTACGTCACCAAATGGTCTTAAGGTTAGTCTTAAGGTTAAGTCGCCATGTTGTCTTAAGGTTAAGTCACCATATGTTTTAAAAATGAAATCACAATATGACCTTAAGGTATTAAGTTCACCATTATATGGTTTTAAGGTTAGATCATCATGTGGTCTTAAGATTATGTCGTCATATGGTCTTATTGTTACGTCATCATATGGTCTTTATTCTTGGTCACAAATGGTCTTAAGAGTTGGTCATAATATGGTCTTAAGATTAGTGGTCACCGTATGGTCATAAGGTCAGGTCACCATAATAATGGTGTAAAGTTTAGAGTCAACATATTGTGTTCAGCGATTGACATATATTTTACCTGATTCTTTATACTCAGGTTCGGCAGTTGGTATGTATGGTCGTTTGGGTTTTCGTTTCTTTGTTGTTTTCTCTGTCGGCTTTGTTGTGATTATAATTGGCACCGGTGTTATAGGCTTTTTGGTAGATATCAATGTTTTTATTGTTGTTGTTGGCTTCTTTGTCATCTTTTCTGTTGTTACCATGGTTGTTGTGGAAGTCGTGGTAGCAGCTTTGGTTGTTGTGACAACTTTAAGAGAATAAAAATATCAAAACCAAGACAAGTGAAGATGTGGTATTATTGCAAACGAGATAAGGGGAAGGGTATAAACAACTAAAGGTCACTGTACGACCTTCAACGATGAGCAAAATCTAAAATGTTCATTTATAAAACAATAATATGTATTTTAGTTGCCTACAAAATTATTTAAATAAATCACCATTCGTTATACAAATTAATGTTTCTTCGTAATAGCCAATAAAAGGAGAAACTTAGCATATACTATTTATATCAGACAAGCCTTTTCATTAGTTAATGACAATTAATTTTCATGCAATTAGTGGGTCACAAATCGTAAGGAGATATTCAGGAGAGAAAAATCTTGTTCTTTTAGAATCACCAGTTGTTTTTGGATAACAAGTCCAGTGAAAGTCGATTAACACAATTAGCTAACATTAGTATATGCAATAGACTATGATATGTCTATGATATATTTTAGAAAGTTCTGGGGGAAAAAAATGGTTGCCTATAACTGCTAACATCCACTTCATTTGAACATTGGTGCATAGTTGTTTCATTGGCAATCATACTACATCTCCTTATTTTTACATTTATACCTGTTGTAATAAAGATCTTCTAGTTTTTCAATAAACTCAAACTCTGTACATTGTTCTCTGCATAGAACTTTGAAATTGAAAATGTTATGGCAAAAACTGAATTACCATAAAAAATCTAAAATAATAAATGGCTTACAAAGTGGTAAAATGGTAACACTGACTGAATCCTTGCCGAGGTGATTTCCACCAACACAGGTGTATTGTCCGAAATCTTCTATTCTTAATTTCATTATTTTCATTGCCACAGTCATATAGTTTTCATGATATGCAATATCTAATGTATGGTCAAACGTAGAATTAGGACCTTTTGGTGAGACCCAAAAATTCAAAATGATCGGATTTCCTGTTATATTGCATTCTGCTATTAATGGCGTCCCGATTTCTTTCTTGATTCTATGGGAGGTTACTGAAACTTTTACAGGATCTGGAAAACGCATAATCGACAAAACTGTTATTCTATAACGTACACATGTTATATATATGATGGATAAAAGGTATTCAAACTTTAAAAAATCATAACGAATACAAAATAAAAATGAAGCAAATTAAAATTGTAAGCATAAATCATAAATGTTAATGATTACTGTTAGCATAAACGAAAAAATCAAAGGGCTTCATGTCATAAATATAAACTTTCCATTAAAATCATGATTAGTTTAATAAAAAATTCAATGAAAAATGACATTCCTCATTTACTATGTACGATTCCATTTATCAAAATGTTGCATATTAATATTGATTGATTTTGGTTTGCGTAACGTCAAATAGCAATTATTTCATGCTTAATCAGGACTAGAATACAAGAGAAGATTGGGGTTAATGAAAAATTGAAAAAGCTGTCAAGTTTTATTTTAACATGCATTCCTACACTGAATGTCTACATCAATGTCCAGTGTTTCCTCTGATTGTTTTCCATTGGTTGCTCTACATTGGTAGGTTCCTGCCACGGATCTATGGCTGTTTAATGTCAACATTTCATCACCAGAGGCTATTTCTGGAATGGAAAGTACGATTAAAGTAATAATAATAAAAGAGAACTAAAACTATTTCGTATTCCCGTATTTATGGAAACATCCATGTAGTAATGGTGAGACGTAAATCAACGACTAAATCTTACTATTTCATTTCACTCGTCTGATCACAGTAGATAACATGTGGTTCATTTATACTTTGATTATCCATCTTTTAATTTATTTCAAAATTAATTTCCATTGGATTCCGATGAATGTTAAGCCTGCTTACAAAGAAGCAATTGAACCAAGGGTTTTAGATGGTAAGTTACAATCATCCCTTGAAAAGTTTAGATTGATAAACATTTCGAAAATACATTGCCATTTGTCGTAACCACAAATCCGCCCTTGGTTCATTGTTCATATTTATCATCGAATCCGACTTATTACAAGATACCCCTTGATATCCTCCTGTTTTATAACCAGATACCCCTTGGTTTCCATTTGAATTATCACCAGATACCCATTGGTATATCTTGAATTATCACCAGATGGTTTCCACTTGATATATAACCAGATACTCCTTGGTTCCCTCGTGACATATGACCAGATACCCCCTGGTCTCCTCTTGACTAATCACCAGATATCTTGACTTTCCACCAGATACCCCTTGGTATCGTCTGGACTTATCACCAGATACTTCTTGGCTTCCCTCTTGACTTATCACTAGATACCCTTTGGTATCCTCTTAATCATCAGATACCTGATGTTGTAACCACAAAACCGTCCTTGGTTCCTTGTTCATATGTATCATCGAATCGGACTTATCACCTGATACCTCTTGGTACCCTCCTGTTTTATAACCAGATACCCCTTGATATCCTCCTGTTTTATAGTCAGATACCTATTGTCTCCTCTTGACTTATTACCAGTTACCAATTGGTATCTCTTGAAAATTATCACCTGATGGTTTCCACTTGATATATAACCAGATACTCCTTGGTTCCCTCGTGACATATGACCAGATACCCCCTGGTCTCCTCTTGACTAATCACCAGATATCTTGACTTTCCACCAGATACCCCTTGGTATCGTCTGGACTTATCACCAGATACTTCTTGGCTTCCCTCTTGACTTATCACTAGATACCCTTTGGTATCCTCTTAATCATCAGATACCTGATGTTGTAACCACAAAACCGTCCTTGGTTCCTTGTTCATATGTATCATCGAATCGGACTTATCACCTGATACCTCTTGGTACCCTCCTGTTTTATAACCAGATACCCCTTGATATCCTCCTGTTTTATAGTCAGATACCTATTGTCTCCTCTTGACTTATTACCAGTTACCAATTGGTATCTCTTGAAAATTATCACCTGATGGTTTCCACTTGATTTATGATAACCAGATACCCATTGGTTCACTCTTGACTTATGACCAGATACCCTTTGGTATCCTCTTAACTTATCACCAGATACCCTTTGGTATCCTCTTAACTTATCACCAGATACCCTTTGGTATCCTCTTAACTTATCACCAGATACCCTTTGATATCCTCTTGACTTGTCACCTGATACCCCTAGGTATCCTCTTGACTTATTACCAGATACCCCTTGGTTTCCTCTTTTAACTAATCACCAGATATCCATTGGTATCTCTTGAATTATCACCAGACAATTTTCTCTTGACATATTAACAGATACCCCTTGGTCTCCTCTTGATTATTTATCACCAGATACTCCTTGGTATTCTCTTGTCTTAAAACCAGACGCCCTTTGGTCTTCTCTTAACTAATCACCAGATATCCATTGGTATCTCTTGAATTATCATCAAATGGTTCCGCTGAAAACATTACCTGATACCCCTTGACTTCTTATATTAAATACCTGTATACTGCTTTCGTCCATCGCTTTCTCCTATATATTTATACCAAAATATCATTATTCTTGGAAAAGCTTCTACTTTACACATAAGTTTGATTGGACCGCTATTTTCTTTTCTAATTATGTCTGTAGGACTTGAGATAGCCTTGTCTATGTTAACAAAATCATCTGTAATAAAGACAGTTCAACTATGGTCACAACTTGATATTAATTGGAGAAAACTGACAATTTCTTTTCTTTTTTAATTTCTTTCTATTTTCTGTGAAAATCATTAAAATGATATTAAACAAGAGTCTGTCAGAGTGACAGCAAACCGGATTTCCCTGCAGAGGTCGAACCCTGAACAGTTGAGCAAGTATGGACACAACATTTAAGCTTAAAACAGCTCTGAATTTGGATTGTGATTGAATATTGAAAATATTTGCAAATCTGAACCCCCAAACAGGATCAAGTAAAAATTAAACATTAACAAACACAACTAAAATAAAATACCACAAAACAACTGTGACATCTACCTTCATAATAAACGACTTAAAATAAAAGTTATAAAGAAATCTTTGAGAACTAATGACTAAAATCAATTGAACAGAGACAATCATTGATAGACTAAAATCCATATACCATATATGTTCAAAGGGAAATAACTCAAACTTATTTCCATGACTCAGTGATGTAAACAACAAAAATAGTTCTCTAAAACTAGATATGATTTAACCACTAAAACATTGTTAGAATAAGCATATCAAAGAACCCCAAGAATTCAATTGTTAATGAAATTAAACAAAAGTTTAATTTAGGACCTTTTGGACCTCAATGTGGTATTATCTAATTAATAATGAAAATAAATACAGGTTTAGATTCAGCATTTCAAAGAACCCTATATATATTCAATTTATGTTGAAATCAAACACATTTTAATTTTGGACCCCGATTTGGACCAACTTGAAAACTGGGCCTAAAATCAGAAATCTAAATATATGTTTATTAATAGACAATATAAGCTTAGTTTTTAAAGGAGTTCACTTCATAAAAAAAATATGTATAGCATTCAGAAAATTAGTTTATACAGAATAACAAACAAACCTACCACACAATTCTTCAAACAATTTACCAAAGAAAAGAAGAAAAAAATCCAAAATGTCATTTATCATTAATACAATGTCTTTTAAAAATCTATAAAACTTATCTGTAATTACCTTCAAAATGTCTAATAATGAACAGTAAATTCCTAACTATATTTATACTGTCCTACAGAGCTTATAATCATCAACACTTAGGAAACAGAAAATTTTCAAATAAATCTGTCACTCCAATTATAATTCTGTGGTTGATATTTACCACATGCTTTGTTATCTGATAACAGGTGAAAATTATTTAAAAACACTTAGTGTAATCAAACTTTATATATAATTAACCATTTCTAAGGGAAATAACTCAATCACATAATAAGTACCACTTCTGGCTACTGAAAAGGCTACAACTCAACAACGAGAAAAGCTAAAACCGTGAAAATTCAACTTGAGCTTCATTTAGTCACAGAAAACAACATATCTAAATTTGAAAAAAAAATCGCCAAAGCGTTTTCATGTTAATGAACGGACACTGTTTGGCTGCCGATTGCCCGCCCGCCCGCCCGCCCGCTGTACATACCCAAATCAATAACCGATTTTTCCTTCGAAAATCCGGTTAATGAAAAGTCCTTAATTTCTTGTATGCACATGTTATTACGATTTTGATACTCTTTTGACTTTTCACAAATGACAGATGTTAAACTTCGTCATTTTTAGGTTGAAATTATGCATGGGGGTACATATTTTTTTCGGCTAACTCCTCCTTCTGTTTTTAAGTTAGAACTTGTATATCACGCAGTTTGTTTACATACATTATGTGTATATGCAAATTGTCAGAATTTAGTTTGTCTTTAAAATGATGTTGAATTTTGTCAATTTTTGTGAAATTATACATTAGGGTACGTGGTTAACTTGTTTGCGGAACCATACACATGTACATGCATACGTCAAGGCCTTTGCGGAACCATAATCATGTACATGTGTACGTCAAGAGCTTTCTGGAACTATACACATGTACACGCATACGTCAGGGGCATGATCTTTATAAAAATAAAAAGATTTGGTATGATTGCCAACTTGTCTAGTTCTAACTTCTGGCAATTATTGGTACTAAACACAGTTTGAAATTGTACAAAACATGTTCACTCACCTGGAACCTGAGTCATACATAAAGGATGAGATTTAACTAAGATGTTCAATTATGCTTTGTTCGCTCACTTGGAACCTGAGTTAAACTTGAGGAATGAAATTTAACCAAGAGGTTCAACGTTTTACAGGTGTATGTTTGTTCACTCACCTGGAACCAGAGTTATACTAAATGAATGATATTTAACCAAGAAATTCGATGTTCTACAATTATATGTTTGTTCACTCACCTGGAACCTGAGTTATACTTAAGGAATGAGATTTAACCAAGAGATTCGATGTTCTACAGGTAAATGTTTGTTCACTCACCTGGAACATGAGTTATACTTAAGGAATGAGATTAAACAAAGAGATTCGATGTTCTACAGGTAAATGTTTGTTCACTCACCTGGAACATGAGTTATACTTAAGGAATGAGATTTAACCAAAAGATTCGATGTTCTACAGGTAAATGTTTGTTCACTCACCTGGAACATGAGTTATACTTAAGGAATGAGATTTAACCAAGAGATTCGATGTTCTACAGGTGTATGTTCCCTTGTCGCCAAGTTTCATCTTGTTTATAAACAGTTTGCTATAAATTCTTTGATCATCTGTATTAATATCACGTGACGTAGTGATGCGTGAAGACTTTATCAATCGTTGTCCGTTTTTGAACCATTCAATACCATCTTTTCCAATAGAATCAGTTGTTGCGTTACAAACCAGAGTTATATCCCTTCCTACTTTTCCTTCAACTGGTCCACTTATTTCAATAGCTGTAAATTATAAAACAAATTGCCTAAATATTAGCAAACTGAAAGAAATTATGAAAATGTGAAATAAAAATTCTATCAATTTTCGGCAACAAAAATATAATAAGAAATTTGTCCACCAATCAAAAAAAATAATTCAGTAAAAACTTTTTTAAAACAATCATCTTCAAAGAAAAGCTGTTTTACAAACAATGGAACACTTCTATGTAGTAATAACAGCATTTAATTGGAATCAAAAATATCCAAAAGAATGAAAACTAACAATACGTCAACATTGATTAAGCGACAGAAAAGTGAATAAACACTCATTCTAATTATGAGGTTCATCAAACGCTTTAGTTCACACTAGTGGTAAAAATACAATAAGAACTGTATGTCAGCTGATCTGCCGTGTTATGATTTGTCTGGGGTGTTCAAACTTACTTCCAAGTCGGAATCAGGTTAAAATAAACAAACGATAATACGAATATGTTAAAAGCAAAGATCAGTTCCTTCATTTCCGGCAGAAACACGTACAATACGCCGTTTCAGAATCTAATGCATTCTGGGTAGTATTTTCAAAAGCGTACACCAGAACGTTGTGATTGGTTAACAACGTCCTAAACAATCGAAATTCAACCAATGGCGTGACGTTGTTTTCATTTTGGTGTATGAACAATGAAATTACCCATGATCCTTTAGATTTTGAAACGGCGAAATTTTTATAATTTTTTAACATCATCCTAACTAGTAAACGCCTATATTTGTAAATGTTTAACCATTTTTCTTCGTCATTACGTCAATATTAATAATGTTTTCAATTACGGGAACAGCAAATCATGATATGCCTTTGAAAAGGCGCTTCCATTCACAAGAACGATCGTCTTTGTTGCTCGTGGTAAACTAGTTGGCATTAAGGGCCAACCCGTGATAAAATCAATATAAATTAAAGCCCCAATGAATTATTCATAATAGAACAATCGACTCTAAATGTGACGTAATAACAAAAGCATTGTACGTAAAAATGCACGCATTTAAAAGTCATCAAAACATGTAAGTTATGATATCGAACGTGGTAAAATTTTAGACATAAAGGGCCAACCTGTTGTAAAAGCAATATACATGTAAGCCCCCATGAATTATTTCTTTAATGTCTTATACACTTGCAACTTTGTGAAAGGAACAATTCCCAAATAATAGTCACATTGTAAAATAACGCTGCAGTTTTATAAAACTTTGAGAGTAACTTTAAGATATCAAGCAATCAAAGACGTGAAGATATGTTCTAAAATATCAATATCCGTATATACTCACTCACTAATTTCTTCTGTGCTAGCCAGTATAACACTGGCTAGCTCAGAAGAAAATCTCTCCAAAAGATTATCATGGAAACAACTGTCGAATGCCTGTAATAGTCTTGACAACAAAATTGTTAGTCAAGTAATTTTATTCCGATTTTTTCTACCATAATTGTGTTTGTCGTTTGATGTTATCAGCTTTAATTAGGTCGATAGTTTGTTTTCCCTTTTTTTTCTTTTTTTTTCCCCATTGTTTGGCCCTAATCAGTGGTTGTTAACATTCTCGTACTTTGATATTTGGTGAATATATGCCTAATTGGTAATCATACAACCTCTCGTTACATAAATACTTATCTAGTTATAAAGTCTGCATGTCGTAGACGACATTTATTATGAAACACCAGGTCTGTTTTAGCCCTCTGAATACGGAACTAATTGACCAACCTGGCATATTTGATTTCCATAGTCATGAACCAAATTTTATTTTAAAAAACAACAACACATTTTTTCTAATTTCCTAGCTATCTGTCGTCTTTCAGTTTGCCATTTGACACTCTGAATAAAATGCTTTCAACGTCATAAATTCCAATTTTGATTTCGGCAAATGCCATGATATAAATTCGCACAATTATCAAATAATAGTATAGGTTAATAAATACCACTTTGTTCCAAACGTATCTCCATTTCGTCACTACCGAATTCGTTGTCTGCCTGACATACATATACTGCAAAATCTGAAGCCTCGAGCGACACAATCGTTAATGAAGACACAGTGATGTCATCTTCTTTGTAAGTTTCGATAGCATATCGTCTGCTAGCGGTAGGTGAAAGTTTTTGTCCATTTTTAAACCAAACAACGCTCCTAGGAAAACCTCGAACTCTGCATTCTAAATCGCCATTTTCACTTTTTATTTTACGAACTAATGAAGATGCCACCGCTATTTTAGGAGCTCCTGAAAATTAGACAAGTGTACATGATCATAATATAACATCTGATATTTGATAATTTTTTTATGTAAATCAGTAGAAGTTATGAAGAAAGTGGTAATGTTTGTAAACGAGTAGAAGTTGTGAAGAAAGTGGTAATGTTTGTAAACGAGTAGAAGTTGTGAAGAAAGTGGTAATGTTTGTAAACGAGTAGAAGTTGTGAAGAAAGTGGTAATGTTTGTAAACGAGTAGAAGTTGTGAAGAAAGTGGTAATGTTTGTAAACGAGTAGAATTTGTAAAGAAAGTGGTAATGTTGGTAAACGAGTAGAAGTTGTGAAGAAAGTGGTGGTAATGTTTGTAAACGAGTAGAAGTTGTGAAGAAAGTGGTAATGTTTGTAAACGAGTATAAGTTGTGAAGAAAGTGGTAATGTTTGTAAACGAGTAGAAGTTGTGAAGAAAGTGGTAATGTTTGTAAACGAGTAGAAGTTGTGAAGAAAGTGGTAATGTTTGTAAACGAGTAGAAGTTGTGAAGAAAGTGGTAATGTTTGTTAACGAGTAGAAGTTGTGAAGAAAGTGGTAACGTTTGTAAACGAGTTGAAGTTGTGAAGAAAGTGGTAATGTTTGTAAACGAGTAGAAGGTGTGAAGAAAGTGGTAATGTTGGTAAACGAGTAGAAGTTGTGAAGAAAGTGGTAATGTTGGTAAACGAGTAGAAGTTGTGAAGAAAGTGGTAATGTTGGTAAACGAGTAGAAGTTGTGAAGAAAGTGGAAATGTTGGTAAACGAGTAGAAGTTGTGAAGAAAGTGGCAATGTTGGTAAACGAGTAGAAGTTATGAAGAAAGTGGTGGTAATGTTCGTAAACGAGTAGAAGTTATGAAGAAAGTGGTAATGTTGGTAAACGAGTAGAAGTTGTGAAGAAAGTGGTAACGTTTGTAAACGAGTAGAAGTTGTGAAGAAAGTGGTAATGTTTGTAAACGAGTAGAAGTTGTGAAGAAAGTGGTAATGTTTGTAAACGAGTAGAAGTTGTGAAGAAAGTGTGGTAATGTTTGTAAACGAGTAGAAGTTGTGAAGAAAGTGGTAATGTTTGTAAACGAGTAGAAGTTGTGAAGAAAGTGGTAATGTTTGTAAACGAGTAGAAGTTGTGAAGAAAGTGGTAACGTTTGTAAACGAGTAGAAGTTGTGAAGAAAGTGGTAACGTTTGAAAACGAGTAGAAGTTGTGAAGAAAGTGGTAATGTTTGTAAACGAGTAGAAGTTGTGAAGAAAGTGGTGGTAATGTTTGTAAACGAGTAGAAGTTGTGAAGAAAGTGGTAATGTTTGTAAACGAGTAGAAGTTGTGAAGAAAGTGGTAATGTTTGTAAACGAGTAGAAGTTGTGAAGAAAGTGGTAATGTTTGTAAACGAGTAGAAGTTGTGAAGAAAGTAGTAATGTTTGTAAACGAGTAGAAGTTGTGAAGAAAGTGGTGGTAATGTTTGTAAACGAGTAGAAGTTGTGAAGAAAGTGGTAATGTTTGTAAACGAGTAGAAGTTGTGAAGAAAGTGGTAATGTTTGTAAACGAGTAGAAGTTGTGAAGAAAGTGGTAACGTTTGTAAACGAGTAGAAGTTGTGAAGAAAGTGGTAACGTTTGTAAACGAGTAGAAGGTGTGAAGAAAGTGGTAATGTTGGTAAACGAGTAGAAGTTGTGAAGAAAGTGGTAATGTTTGTAAACGAGTAGAAGTTGTGAAGAAAGTGGTAATGTTTGTAAACGAGTAGAAGTTGTGAAGAAAGTGGAAATGTTGGTAAACGAGTAGAAGTTGTGAAGAAAGTGGTAATGTTGGTAAACGAGTAGAAGTTATGAAGAAAGTGGTGGTAATGTTGGTAAACGAGTAGAAGTTGTGAAGAAAGTGGTAACGTTTGTAAACGAGTAGAAGTTGTGAAGAAAGTGGTAACGTTGGTAAACGAGTAGAAGTTGTGAAGAAAGTGGTGGTAATGTTTGTAAACGAGTAGAAGTTGTGAAGAAAGTGGTAATGTTTGTAAACGAGTAGAAGTTGTGAAGAAAGTGGTGGTAATGTTTGTAAACGAGTAGAAGTTGTGAAGAAAGTGGTAATGTTTGTAAACGAGTAGAAGTTGTGAAGAAAGTGGTAATGTTTGTAAACGAGTAGAAGTTTTAGAAGTTGCAAGTTTTAATCACTAGTTTGCATTGTAAAAGCTTTTTAACTTTTTCCGACTTTCATTAGCAAAACATAAATGACCACAATGTCGTCTATTTGCAGTGAAGTTTTTCTTTAATAAACAGTCTGATAACAAGCAAGGTTTAATACAGAACTTTTCAATAAAAACCTAGAATTAGATGGACAACACGAGACCTCTGAAATCATGTCTTTTAAAAGCAGTCACCAACAATGACTTCATTAGTTTGACCCTTACCCTTGGATATCTATGTGTATACTCCAATGAAATTACCTGTTTTTTCTAATGTATAATCGTGTGAAGCGGACCCATATTTATTTTCTGCTTCGCAAGTGTAAATACCAAAATCATTATCGTTAAGATCGTTGATTCGGAGAGATAATATGATCGAATCTTTCTCTTCATACACATCCTGTCTAAATTTATACGACGCTTCAGTTCTGGATATGACGTTTCCATTTCTCTTCCAAACAACATAAGGAAGAGGATATCCTTCCGCAAGACATTCAAATATAACATTTTTACCAGGTTTCTTCGTCACTTGGTCATTCTGTGGATATACCTGAGGTTTATCTAGAAGATGTAAAAATAATTTCAATGGTTAAAATCAAGCGGAAAAGACACATGTAAGATGAAGTTTTTCGCGTGACAAGTTTGTGCCACTAAATCTGTAATTGTCTGTGCAGTACTTTGTGAACGTATTTGTCTTTTCGTTTTAATTTTTTTCAATAGCCATACTATTATTTGTCCTTTTTCGAGTTATGCTGCTTTTATCTGAGTTATAGTACAGAATTATTTAAGAACACAATATAAAAAGCTTAGCCTGCCAATAAAGTATGATATCCATTTCTGGAAGACCAGAGATAGGTTTCAAGAGTAACCTTAACTAGACATGCTCCATCTAGGATTTACACTTACACATCTGGATTACCTGATATCATTTCAGTTTTACATGCCGAAGCAGGAATGCCTACCCGTCCGGAGTGCTGAACATCTCCTTTTAGTGTGGCTTTTTCGATAGTCTATTAACATTCGATTTTTTTTAAATCCGCTTACTTCGAACACCAGTCATGTAATGAAGTATAGTAGATTTTGTATGCCATATCCTAAAACTTATTCATAGACACAGAAAGACAGCCGATTACATTTTCTTGGTTCTATGCAAAGCCCCGAAATGACAAATGTAAAACAATCAAGCGAGAAAACCAGCTTCCTGACTTTATACAAAACAATAAACGAAAAACAAATATGAATCATAATGATATATACAGCAACAAACAACAACCACTGAATCACATGCTTCTGAGATGGGACAGGCACATACAGAATTTGGCGGGGTTAAACATGATTGCGGGCGCCCAACCCTCCCCTAACCTGGGACGGGTAATGCTCTTTTATGAGAGTTAAAGTTCTCAATGTTATACTTACAATGAACAACTACAATAATTTCTCTGGACACATTTGGTGGTAAATTATTGGATGCCACACATTCATAAGATCCAGCTGCTTCTCGGGCAATATCCTTTATGGATAAAATCGGACCTGTTGTACCAAGATCTAAAAATATACATAATTACACAATGAATGGTCAGAATATCTTGCAATGTTCTTTGTGGATTATATTCCAGGTGCGAAACTATAATATTAAATTGCACATTAATATTCAGAATATTCTTTAAGGATATTTAACATGTTGTAGCAAGTTATGAAAATTTAAATAATTCCACAACGAATGTTAAAAATGTTCAAACACTGGTTTGATGTAAATCAACCCATTTCATTGCAATTTAAAAACAAAATTTGACAAGCCAATTTATTTATTCTTTATCTTCATAAAAATGCAGATATCAAAACACTAACACTGAAAAACTAAAGATTGAGTAAACTTGTGCACGTAGGAGAGGTTGTTCCTTTCTACTGGAAGCAGTGACACCCATGATGTGCCTTGGGCAATTCAAAATCTGGTGTAACATCATATTCAGCGGTGTCATAGCAAAGTAAGGAGGACGGGATATTGGCTACGATGAATTGAACATATTCATTATCATCTGTGACATGAATATTTCTAAACGGCCAACCAAATCAAGACGGCACTTCGTAAACCTTCGAATAAATAAACTCAATTTACTTCAAGAAAAATTCGTTTAAAGCTTCTTTGAAAGTAGCAACCCCTTTGAAGGAAATCATAAATATATCTAACATGATACTAAGCAGGGGATAGTTTTCGTAGAAAATTGAACTTAAGTCAAAAGATCAAAAATAACCATTTCGATGGAATACCGTTACAAGTGATGACGGATTTACTGCAGTGAGCCTCTTGTTTGTGTAATATATAGAAGAAAAAAATAAACTAATTTTTTTCACTCTCAGATTAAAATCTTATCGTGCCAAAGTTTCAATTATCGCTGTCATTTTTCCAGATGAGATCCACTCGATTAAATCAGCATACATGTCGGAACAATTACATTAATGCAAATAAAATACAAATCTTATGGTACTAGGAAATGTAAGTGTTATCAAACGTTTCGTTTTATTTCTGACCTTTGAAATTTTCTTGTTCAATCATTACAGAACAAAAGATAATTCTAAATGCATTTACTATCTTTATCACATTGTTAACTTCATAGAAAAGCTGTAAAGACAAGAAATTTACAATCAATCCAAGAACTTTACAATCAAACCAAGAATTTTACAATCAAGCCAAAGTGGATATATTTTTAGAAAGTTGAATTTTATCATGTTCTTGATTTCTTTTTTTCTGGTTATGTATTGAAAACATGAACATAAACAAAGTAGATTCTTGTTAAAGATTATGCAGTTTGCACTTTCATATCTTCTTTTATGAAGAGCAGTATATATTCAGAATCCTTTTTTATTTACACCAAGATGTCGTTAAATGAAATTGGATACCCTGCATTTATCATGCTTTTCAATAACATATGATCAAATCGCTGAGAGACCCCCCTCCTGAATTATTGAAAACTATCATTCTGCATTGACAATAATATATTGGTGTAAATAAGATATATACCCATTCGCGCTAACGCCCTCAAGGTGTAACTTATACTTAAATACTATAAAAAAAATTATGGATTAATCCTCATTTATTTAGTTGAATCTCAGTTATTGTTTTTTTTATCCACACCGCCTCATTTAATAGAATGGAAATAAAAATTCGGTTAAAATCTAAAATTGTAAAAGAGAGACGGTAGATACCAAAGGGATATTCAAACTCACAAATCGAAGACGAACTGGAACTGACAACGCCATGGCAAATAAAAAGCTGCGCCATGAGCGCATGATACGCCCGTCGCTTTTTCAAAGAATAAAGTTCCATAACTCCTCAATGTCATATCAGAAATTTAAAAAAAAAAACTGAAGGGAGATTATTTTAATAGATATAAACCAGACACCAAAGTTTCATGTAAACTGCTCAAAGCACTTTTCAGTTATTGTCCGAAAGCTGGAAAATCCCCATTTTTTTTATGATAAAACCCCACAACTCGGAAACGTAAAATCTAAAATTTATAAAAATCGAAAGGGAGCTCACGTCAATAGATATAAACAATTCACCAAAGTTTCATGCAAAATGGTTAAAGCGTTGTTGAGTTAATATCCGACATGTTGACGACGGACAACGGTATGTACCATAAAACGTCCCGTAAACGGGCGTATAAAAACTACAAAAAAACAAAATATAGTCTACACAAAACAGCATAGAAAACTATAAAGACCCAACGACACGAACCCCACCAGGTGCTCCGGAACGATAAGCAGATTCTGTTCAACAGGACTTGTGAGTAAATGTCTTTCTTTCCTTTGTAACTAATCCCGTTTTGTATGTTATGTTATTTAATGAGATGCAGTGTAAAAATTAATTTATAAGATGTGGTAGGCTTCATACACTTTATCCCTCAACAATCGGTGGATCAACAAGGGGTGCACATACGCGTAGCGTAAAAGGTTTTAAAGGCTCCCCCTATCCTGCAACAAGTGATCGACAGACTCATATCGTAAAAAGGTTTTTAAGGCCCTCGATATACAATCACTAGAGTTGCACATATTCATGTCGTTAAAGAGTTAAAGAGTTTCGACGACCTCCGATATACCTTAATTCACAAGAGTTGCACAGGCTCATTTTGGGTCTTCAATGCTCTTCAACTTTGTACTTTATTTGGCTTTTTTAACTTTTTTGATTCGGGCTTCACTGGTGAGTCTTTTGTAGACGAAATGCACCTCTGGCGTACAAAATTTTAATCCTGGTATCTATGATGAGTTTATTTACAACCACTGGTACTGCTACTGCTTGTGGGAGTTTCTCTCTGAGGGTATCACCAGCCCAGAAGTCAGCACTTCTGTGTAGACATGAATTATCATTGATATGATCATAATTATAAACTAACTGTTTATAAAACTTTGGTCCTCAATGCTCTTCAACTTCGTACTTTATTTGGGTTTTTTTAATTTTTTTAAATCGAGCGTCACTGGTTAGTCTTTTGTAGACTAAACGCGCGTCTGGGCGTACAAAATTTTAATCCTGGTATCCATGATGAGTTTATTTATAGAACCTCGGTAAGTTTAGTCATCCCTCAACAAAAATACTACGTACTCATATCGTACCTGGGTTTAGAAGATTCTAGATAGACCTTCAATTATGGGACCACAGACTCATATCGTAAAAGTGAATACCATTAACAGTCCGAGCAAAGTATCAGCTTGTTTAATGACACCTTTTGAAGCACTATATCACATGTATTTTAAAAAATGGACAGCTGTAACCGATGAAATACCTAAATAATTGTTTCACAAATGTAGTCTTCCAACAGGATATTTTGATAGCTTGTTTAACCGAATGTTGTCTCTTCTTTCATACCATAGATTTGTTCCTACCTTCTTTTGTCTGCTCAGGTAAATCTGTTTCCACAGTTCTGTACCAGCTGATTACAGGTTCCGGTTTTCCCGTGGCTGCACATTTTAATGATAACGTATCCCCTTCCATTACTATTTTAAGGTTAGGTGTAGATCTTTGTGTGTCCAGCGTTGGTGGTGCTAAATTGTATTGCAAAATAAAAATAAAGTTTATTCAAAGTCATGACTAAATGTATTCTCTCCTTTGTCTAATTGGTAAAGGTTCTTATACAACAGTAAAACAATTTTTTTTTTTTTTTTTTTAAATTAATATTGATTCACCTGAGTAAGTGATGACTGTTCGTCACAATGATAGACTTTCGTTGATGTAAATATTAAGCGATAATTTGGTCAAAGATCTCTATTCCAAATTTAAAAACAATGGGAAACGAGATGATCTTACTGAGCCATTTTCAGTCAAATATGAAATCGAGGAAACGTGTAAGATAACCTGACTGAGAATCTTTAAGTCAAATATGAAAAATAGAGAAAACATGTTGGAAACCATTTGGCTAATTATCAATTACCCATGGAAGTACTATATTGCTAATATGATATTTTCATAAAGGACTAGCATTATATATTTCGTTCATTATTGCTGTCCTCAAATTAATTTATATTATTTTGCCATATTGACATTTACACATACATTGTACTTCTAAAGTGACATGTTTCTCTGATTGTCCACCTAACACCATACATATGTATACCCCAGCGTCTGATTCCCGTATGTTCTCTATAGCTAAGTTATACTCTGTTTTGTAGGGATGTTGTACAGAGAATCTGTCATCTTGTGAATACAGATTGGTGTCTTTAGCTATAGCGCCACCGTTTGGTGAAAACCATATAATCTGGAAATGAATTTCACCATATATAGATAAAAAAAAAACAACTTTACATTTATATTTATACGAATATAAGATTTGACTCATTCAACATTATATATTAAACTTAAAAGTTTGTCAAATATTATTCGGTGTTTGAATTGCTATAATCTTTGGCTTGTTTACACTTTTTATTTTCTTCATATCAAATCAGTTTTGTTCAGGATAGCTGAAACATTGTAACACTTCAATGTGAGAAAATGGATACTCTTGCTTTATAAAATACTAAGTATGGCTTATATTACAAAATTAAAGTTATAATTATACTTGAACATCCTATGTTATACATACACTAGTACATGTTACACTAGAAAATCCTAAGTTTTGCTTACAGTAGAAAATCGTAAGTTTTACTTACACTAGAAAATCCTCAGATTTACTTACACTAGAAAATCCTAAGTTTTTGACGACACATGGTAATACAACTTGCTTTCCTTTTATTGAAGTAATGGTCAAAGCATCGTCGTTTAAAATAGGTGCACCTAAAAGTAAACAAATACAACAATAGAAATAATCAACTTGTTACTATATACTAATACATCATTGTCTTTAAAATTTTGGAGATTGCGATCCTGATGAAGGTTAAATCCAGAAAAGCTCTTCGAAAGTATAAAAATGTATTAAGAGTTATTTCATTTAGTAAATTAATCAGTATAAATCTAGCGCGAACAACTTGGTGTATAGTTGTCTTATTGGCAATCTTACCACATCTTTTTTATTTTACAATTTAGTTAATTTTCGCATTTTTCGATTATCTGGGAAATGATTAAGAAAAGAAAATGATGTCTGATTGTCCTTCTCGTCGTTTGATTTAAATGTAAGTACAGTACATGGCCAGTAAAGATATTACTGGAAAGCAACAACATAACCAAACAACAAAGCACACTAAAGTACCTTAATAAAACAAGACGGGTAAATAAACCAATATACAAATAACAACGTCACACAACGTACTCATTAAAATTAAATTGGTCTCAGAATATCAACATTGTGATCATAACAATTAACAGAACGGGCAATTGAACTTGAGGGAAATAGCTTACTTACTTCTCTCATCAACAGTTCTTACTTATCACATGCGCTTTTTAATTCTCTTTTTTTTTCACATGCCCGTTATTTTGCGGTGCTTTTAAAAAAAATATTGAACAAATCAAAATAGATGTGAAATAAAAGAGAATGGATTCAGCTACGATAAATGTAAAAGAGTTAATGCTCAAAGGAGTTCCTCGTTTTAGAACCAACTCAACTGAAATCTACTGTTGCTTTAATGCGAACATATTTGGCTAAAAGTACTTTGGCGGTATCATTATAAATGTATTAGTCGGAAAATACTTATCAATTGTATCTTAATGTCCATACGTGTTACGAATTTCGATGCAAATTATTTATATATAGAATAATTGTTACATTGTTGGCTTAAACAAGATATCCCACGGTCTTGACGTTATGTTAATACGGTCCTTCAAAAAAAAAAATCTTTCTAAATCGTTTGGCATTTAGAAAATGCGCTACATTTATATGACGCATTTAACTGCAGTTCGTTAGCTTTATTGAGAGATACTTAAATATCAGTTGCAAACAAAAGTATATAAGATGCATACAGTGTAGTACTCCTAAAGAGATAAGATCGGTGGTATCCCCGAGGAAATGGTTGGGGTTTAACATTCAATTGTAGGCAGGTGCACAAATTTTCTATGATAAATGAAAAAAGTGTGTCCCGCCCTGATTTCACTGATAATACGTCTGAAAAAATATACATAGCTTTCATTTTTACAAATATTGATATCATGAAAATGTTATAACTTTATTGTTTTCGTATTTCTTTATCTGATTCGAAAATATGTTTTAATGTAACTCTGTTAGAAACAAATGACACATGTGCGGTTAAGTTATTATGTAAGCTGGGGTTATTATGGACGAATACATTTCAATCTGTATATTTTAAAACTTTTTAGATAAAATTCTCTCGGGGAAAGAAACATTTCAAAACTACAAGCAAGTCAAAACATATGGCAAATCTCGAACAGTGCAGTGAAAGTTTTATAAATGAACATGAAGCAGGGGAAAATTCAAAACATCTTTTGACAAAAAACTAAATTAAAAAAATAGGTCATATTATATTATTATATTATCAATTATTATATATATTATATCTGGTCACTAGGTTCATATATTGTAAAGTGTTGATTAAGATTTGTAAGTAGAAATATCGTTCAACGCCGTTTCAGGACCAAAATATTATCATTCTTACAAATTTCAAACCTACTAAAGAAAATAATGATGATAAGTGTTGAATTCACAGGTCATTATCAGTATATTAGGTCCGAGGACACAGTTATCGTCCTTAGAATATAGTCCCTAGTGTGGACAATGTATAACTTGCAAATTTTTTTCATACACTTTCCAAATTTATTTCTTTATATTTTATGCATGAAATATTAAGTAAGGGGATGAAAGTACATGTTAAAAAAGTTTGGGTGCTGAATCTTTATGTTAAGTAGTGATTTGGTCCAGTTGAAAAAGGTCAAAAACTAGTATGTCTGAAGCTGTCAAACTGAATTTTAGACCCCCTTAACATAGAATTGTCAATATTTTGAGTTAGAGCTGGTAGACTTTTCTATAATTTTGATATTATTTGTCTCAATAGTAGAACACTACACTGTAAATATCTTTTTGAGATACAGCAGGTGCGATTTTTTTTTGACTTTATTGTCTAAAAGAAATGCACTACGAAATAACTGTGTTCTCGGGCCATATAGTGTTGAATTAAATACTAAAGAATAATCATAACTCATAAAAAAAATCTTCATGACTTGAGTTTGTTCCTTTATTACATTACATGTATAACCTAATTTCTATAAGGATAAGAAAATATCAAAACCAGAGCGTTCAGAAATTTCACCTACTTTTTTTCTTTTAATGATCTATGTAAACATATCAAGATCCTTAAAAAATCATTTAAAAATTAAAAAAGATTATTATAGCAGATGTCCTGTCGATGTTAATGTTCTGAAAGTAATTGATTTATGGGTTCCTGTCAAGCTAATGACTTCTGTTTTCTTGATTTGAAATCGAATATGATAATATCATTTATCAAAAAGTAAAATCACAAAAATACTGAACTCCGAGGAAAATTCTAAAACGAAAGTCCTAATCAAATGGCAAAATCAAAAGCTCAAACACATCAAACGAATGGATAACAACTGTCATATTCCTGACTTGGTACAGGCATTTTCTTATGTAGAAAATGGTGGATTAAACCTAGTTTTAAAGCTAGCTAAACCTCTCACTTGTATGACAGTCGCATCAAATTCCATTATATTGACAACGATGTGTGAACAAAACAAACAGACACAATAGGTAAAAATTTCACAAATAGGGGTACAACAGCAACACGAACCCCACCAAAAACTGGGGGTGATCTCAGGTGCTCCAAAACGTCCCCTTTTCAAAATATTTTTTTTTTTAGAAAGCTGAACCATTTTGAACATCCAATAACAAAATAATGGTGTCGAACTTTTTTTGTAAAGTGTATTCACTATAAGTATATCCTAGGTAAACTGACTTCACAGAAAATAAATTCTACTAAGGTTTTCGAATGCAACTTCTAATTTGTTTGTGTTGAATTTAGCAATAGTGCTGTAGAACCCTGATTTCATCATTCAAACGTCGCTTCTGTAAAACCTACCTATAAATATGAAATTTGATGGATAGTACAGCTTATGACGGCTTCACTGTTTTTGTGAGTATACTCAAGGTACATTTATAATATCGAAATCATGTCAGTTAAAGCCACAACTAAATAAAAACCCATGCTACATAACTTCATTATGATATATTCTCCATTGCATTTTATTTTATCTCAGTATATATAAATTTTGTAAGATTCTGTTTGTGGTGCAAACCAAGTGTATTGTTAGATCTTGCTAATTACGTATGAGAAGTCTATTAACCAGTTAACACATAAACTTTAGTTCTTTCAACTTCGCTTTACTGAATTACTTTATGAGCTTCAAAAACAGTAAAAGAGCAGAGGTGAATTCTTTCTTATCATTTAATAGGGTTCTTTTTTTGTTTTGTTTCAAGGATTAAAATAGCTGTAGTACATTAGAAGGATGATAAACAGAAGAAAAACACAAAAAGCTCCATTGAATTTATTATTTTATATATAAACTCTACGGTAGAAGCGTTGATTTCCTGGATGAGCGGGATGTAAAAATACAGTCAAATATGCTGTATGTGTCGGATTCGGTAACTCCTTCATGTATTAAGTGAATTAAATCTGGAAATGACTGTCCAATGTGTCATACAACTCATGAACTGGCAGATTTGGCACAAATTTTAACCATTTGTAAAATACCGGCACAAAGTCAGGAATATGAGAGTCATTCACACATTGAAAAGTGTGTTTCTGAACCACGGAACTTATCAGAACATATATATACAGTCAATATTCATCAGTAGTTTGAACACAGTTTTGCTTAAATAATATATTTTGAAAACATTTTTTTTTGCTTGTCTTATGATGATGTCTAATTCATTATTATTACTATAGATCAACACGTGATGTTTGAGAGATGAAAGTCAAACCCATAGGAGATCGCCCAGTAGGAGATTCACACGGACATTCCCTTAGCATGTTAGTTGCGTTTCTCAGCTAATTCTCCTCATACAAATGTTATTTGCTGTAACAATCAAGATAATTGTATACATACAACGTGGAACATCGAGTCCCTCCCAACCTCCCAGCTACAAAAATAGAAGTTTTACACTGATCTTTTGTTTTTCAGTTTTGCTTGTGTTTATTTGTGTCAATTTCTTTTCTCTCTTAAGTACTATATAGCTTGTTTAATAGTTATTTCGATAGTTTTCTTTAATAAAAACATAGTTTACATCAGGAATTACACATCCGTAGCCAAGGGCTTAAGACGAATCCTGTTCCACCTCTTCCTGTTAGAAACAAAACAACTATTTAAGACTATCAAAGTCAAGTTTCAGATTAAAGTTGACCATTAAAATCGAGATTCAGATAGAAATTTGACTTTTAAAGTCAGAGCGTCATAACACGAAATACCCCCCCCCCCCCCCCCCCCCCCCAACAGAGACATCCTGACTATGGGCCTGGAGTACATAAGGAATACTGTTGACAACTGTTTCCTCTCCCTTTAGTCCTACTGGCGGAAAACAAGTACCAGACATGCTTTTTGATTACGCAAATAACAAATTTTAACATCTTATAAACATCAGCCTGTGGTATTTTAACCATGTTTTTGACTACATGCCAGATAATTTCATTGTCAATTACTATAGATTTCATCATTATAATGCTCTGATCATTTGTAAGTGATCCCGAATAAACTAGGTTTTTACAATAATTTGCAATTTACAAATATATATTTCAAATACATCATTAGTCGAATTTCGCAAATATTGCTAGATATAAATAAGAAGATGTGGTATGGGTGCCAATGAGACAACTCTC